AAGCACCCCTGTCCCCTGTCCCCACCCAGGCACACACATATCCAGATACAGCTTATTTTATGACTGTATTATTCTTGTGTTTCTTCTTCTAGATAAAGACATAAAGGTTGGAGAAATAATTAACCTGGAGTTGCACAGTAAGCTAGTGGTCTTCATGGATGATCATTTATAGTTCTTGTATTTCCAGAGACAGAATACATTGATAAAGTTGAAATAAACAGAAGCCTAAGAATTCTAACTATATATGCAGAGATACATAGGCAGAAAAAGTACTGCTGTAAGTAAAAAGACATAATGGGAATAGCAGTTATAATCACATTAACTTCTGTGCCACCTCCCTCTAGATCGGGGTGTCCAATCTTTTGGCTGTCCTGGGCCACATTGGAAGAAGAATAATTGTCTTTGGCCACACAGAAAATACACTAACACTAATGATAGCTAAAAAAAAAAATTGCAAAAACATTTCAGAATGTTTTAAGAAAGTTTACAGATTTGTTCTTTGCTGCATTCCGAGCTGTCCTGGAGTGCATGTCAGACAAGCTTGATCTAGAGGTTTATCTATAGTCATGACCTAACCACATAATTTTAGTATGTTATACATGGTACCAGATATTCAGGGTAGATCCTGCCAAGAACATAAATTGTAAAAAGGAAACTCTTGGGATGCTGCTGGATTGTAATGTGTTAGTCCTCTGCCCATGAATACTGAAAATCAAGAATTGAAAAAGTACTGAATACTGAGTCAAGAGCCGTGTGTTCCTAGACTCCACTTAATCACAAGCGTGTCTGTAAGAGTGTAGGCATGCCATTTCACTTTGGGGTCTCTGCTTGTAAAGTGAAAATGTTAGACTCGATCTCCCAGATTCCCTTCAGCTCTTAGATTCTGTGCTTCCCAAGGGCTGGAGTATTGCATCAGGACCCAGCCTGGGGTTTGTGCCATTTCAAGGCCCTAAGGAACTGCATCATCTTTTATTCCAAGGAGATAGGATACCTTACCCCATAGAGTCTGATAATGCAGTGAGCAGTTGCTGTTGTGAGTTGCATCTTCATTGGGGATTGAGCCTAGGTTGTTTTAGTAACCTAGAAAGACCTTAGAATGATGCCAGGAGATGTAATTTCTGTGATCAACTAGTTACCTCCTCAAAAGCTTGTCAGGACCCATCCAATTGCAGTGCCATTCTGTCTTTGGTGTTAAAGAATTTAGATACTTCTCCTTTTAAAGGATTCCCTTTGAATTTAAGGATTGCCATTATCTTCTTAAGAATCCAAGTAAATACAAAAAGTATATATTCTTGCTGAATATAATTTTTTAAATGGTAATGAGGAATGTCTTTATATTTTTAAATGTTAGTGAGGAATGTCTTTATATCTTAATTTTAAGGCTTTTAACAGTTAGTTTGCATTTGCTGGTTCTTTGCTGTCTCCCTAAAACTAGTTTTTTGTTCAGTGCTGTGAATTGTTGGTAATATCTGTAGTCATCTTTTGACAGTGGTAACCTCTATTTTCTGGGTGAATTAGGAATTAGTATCACCAGAAGAAAAGCTAATCTGAATGATTGTTCTTTCATCATCTCATTCATACACAGTATTAACCATCTGGTTTGACCACAGCTTTCACACTAGACAAGTCTATGTAATGATAGACATCAGGACATACCTTTGATGATAGACTCCTCTGATCTTTCCCAGGTTTTGGCTGGTATTGCCATTGTTTTGGATAGAGGTTGTTGATGTAAAACTGGGCTCTGGGGAATGACCACCAGGAACTATTGGGGAATTGCAGATAAACTGTCTCCATGGATAGCCCTCCAGGGAACTTAATAGTTGTCTAATGTTAATTACCTTATACCACAGTCTAATTACTAAGAGTATTGTCTGAGTCCATTCAGGCTGCTATAACAAAACGCCGTAAACATGGTGGCATATAAACAACAGAAATCCATTTCTCTCAGTTCTGGAGGCAGAGAAGCCCAAGATCAAGGCAATAGCAAATATGGTGCCTGCTTCCTGGAAGGTGGCCTTCGTAAAAGTGGTTCATAGAAAATGTCTTCTCACTGTGTCTTCACATGATAGAAGGGGCAAATTTGCTCTCTGGGGATCTCTTTTATAAAGTCACTAATCTTATTCAGGAGGCCTCTGCCTTTGTGATCTAATGACTCCCTCCTCAAAGACTCCCTCTTCCTCCCACCATCAGCTTGAGAGTTAGGTTTTAACATACAAATTTTGGGGAAGGGCATAAACATTCAGTCCACCGCAGGTACAAATGTTTTCAACAAACATTTGTTGAGTATTTGTCCTTTTTCTAAGCTTTCCTGTTCCTACTAGAACATTGTACATGGATATCCAATAGGAATGTTAGTCAGTATCATTATCTTTTTCTCAAAACATCTTCTACCTTCTTTATTTTCCCTTCCTCTTCTAGTCTTACCATAGTTAATAATGATACTAACTGTTAACATCATAGTTAACCAGTCACTCGAACTAGAACTTGAAAATTTTGAATAATCTCTATACTCACACCCAGTAAAATGAGCTCATATACTTAAAAATCCATGCCTTTTGTTTTGTTTTATTGCTCTTGTTTGTAATTTACTTATTTTTACTTGATACTGTGTTCTGGAAATATTTTCATGTAGTTCAGTCTTCTTTTTAATGTTTCCTAGTATGGGTCCATAAACTACGTGTATTATAGTTTATTTACCCATTCTTCTCTGGATAGATGTTTACATTATTTTTTTCCTTTTGTTACAGAGAATACTGAAATGAATATCCTGAACACGTTTACTTGTATGCATGTGCAAGTATGTAGATGTCAAAAAGTGGAATTGCTAGGTCAAAATGAATATATGTTTAAAATGTTAATAGATACCAACACATTGCTTTACAAAAGTTCCTATCTGTTTTTCTAAGTCTTTTTAAAATATGGACTACATTAGCCCATTCTTGCATTTCTGTTAAGAAATACGTGAAACTGGGTAATTTATAAAGAAAAGTTTAATTGGCTCGTGGTTCTGCATATTTGTACAGACATGGCTTCAATATCTGCTTCTGGTGAGGCCTCAGGAAGCTTGCAATCATCGAGGAAGGTGAAGCTTAGAGCAGGCACATCACATGGCAAGAGTGAGAGCAAGAAAGAGGGGAGAGGTTCCAGACTTTTAAACAACCAGATCTACATGAACTAACTGAGGAAGAACTCATTTATCACCAAGGGTATGGTGCCAAACCATTCATGGAAGATGCCCCCCATGATCCAGTCATCTCCCTCCAGACCTCATCTCTAGTATTGGGAATCATACTTCAACATGAGATTTGGAGGATAGGGATCCAAAACGTGTCATGGACCTAGTATACTTCTCCCAGCCTCAGGGCTCTGATTTCAGTGTTCACTCACTTACTTGGGCACTGTCAGCCACTGTCCAAATTTGTATTCAGTATAAATTGTGTGCTGGGCACTCTGCCACATGTTGGGGATTTAGCACAGGATGACACAGAGATGGTCCCTGCCATCATGTAGCTTACACTTTACCACGTAGAACTTTTGCCATACGCAGACTCTCTTTAGGCACTTGCAGCTACTATCCTCTCTTCCTAGTGCGACCTTCTTCCTTTTAACTTTTCTACCTAGAGAATTTTCTTTCACCCTGTTAATTGGCTTAAATTTTACCCTCTGTCATTATCTTTATCCCTTCTTAGTTAGATGAGCCTTCCTCAGTGCTCCGTCTTGGCACTCATATGCCTTTGGTGGCTATTCCCCTGAGGAGTTTTCGTGATTTGTTTTTATGTATGTGTGCCTTTTGTGTGTATAGACACATGTCTACCTCTTGGATTAGATTGTAAACTCACTATAGACTTGGAACTATGATATGTACCTGAACACTAGCCTAGCTTACTGCCTTCAACCCTGGGGATGCTTAATCACTATTGATTAAGTCAATGAATAACAAACTATAAAAGACCTTAGTTTGTACAGGGCACTGTAGGGGGATTGTTGATATGAATAGAACTGGTCTGTCTTAAGGGACCTAACCATATAGTCAGGGAGATAAAAAAACAGACGAGTAGACTGCAAGGCAGGTTGTGATAAGCTCTGTATGGGACTTATCACGGATGAGTGCTGGAGGAGAATTTAAAGGGAGAGAGGAATTCTCCTAAATGAGATACTCTGATAAGTTTACAGAGAACTGGATTTTTTTCTTTCTTGTACCAGATGTTGTGAGGAGTGTACATGCTGATAAGATATGGTTGCTGATTAAGAGATTTATAGTGAATTAAGGCCTTAGTGCAGGCATTGGTAAATTGTGGCCTATGGGCCAGATCTGGCTATATGCCTGGTTTTATATGGTCCATGTGCTAAGAATGATTTTTCCATTTTAAAAATTGTTAAAATAATATTTTGTGAACATGAAAATTACATGAAATTCAAATTTTTGTGTCCATAATTACATTGTGTTGGAACACAGCCATGTTTATTTGTTTATGCACTAAATGTGACTATATTTGCACTCAACAGCAAAGATGAGTAGTTGTAAAGGAGAACCTTTGGTTCACAACAGTTAAAGTATAAAATAATTTAGCCCAGGCTCATTCCAGAACCAGTTTGCTAACCACTGGGATAGAGAATAGGAAAGATTCAAATAGAGAAGAGAAATGACATTCATACTGGGGGTATTAGTTTGAGTTAAGAGAATGGGACAGTGATACTGACAGTCACACAAATTTTAGGGCTAAAGTGACGATCTAGCTTAACCCTCTTATTGTACAAAATAGGCACAAGATCAAAAATATCCTCAAAGTCCACTAGCTCTTAAGTGGCAGTGGAGTGCTGCTGGAGTAACTGGTACAGAAGTCTGAGGGCTGTAGATGATGATAAGATTATTGCTGAAGAAGGGCAAGATCAGGAATGACCTTGCCCTTGAAAAACGAGAGTTGAAGTACAAACTAAGAACAGACTTCTTTTCTCTCTCAAAATGTAATGTTTCTGTTTTTCTCTTGTATTTCTAGAAGGCCTTTGAGCCCTACTTAGAGATTTTGGAAGTATACTCCACAAAAGCCAAGAATTATGTAAACGGGCATTGCACCAAGTATGAGCCCTGGCAGCTAATCGCATGGAGTGTCGTGTGGACCCTGCTGGTAGTCTGGGGATATGAGTTTGTCTTCCAGCCAGAGAGTAAGTATGCTGTCTCCTCTGTAAAGGTATGGTGGTATGTCACTAGCCTCAAACTCATTGCTGACAGATAGGACTAATTTATTGCCTTTTGGTGTGGTTCTTTTTTTTTTGAGACAGTCTCACTCTGTCGCCATGCTGGAGTGCAATGGCACAGTCTCGGCTCACTGCAATCTCTGCCTCCCAGGTTCAAGTGATTCTCCTGCCTCAGCCTCCGGAGTACCTGGGACTACAGGCGTGCACCACCACAGCTAATTTTTGTATTTTTAGTAGAGTTGGGGTTTCACCATGTTGGCCAGGATGGTCTTGATCTCTTGACCTTGTGATCCTCCCACCTTGGCCTCTTAAAGTGCTGGGATTATAGGCACGAGCCACCATGCCATGCCCTTGTTTGGTTCTTATTTTTAAAATCTGTTTAAATGTAAAGTGGTACTTTGTCTTCTGATTGGTCAAGTTATAACAGGACTCTTGTGTAATTAATACTCCTTAACATTGATTTTTTTTTTTGAATTTGTAGTTTATGTAAAAACACCTCAGAATTAGTCATTGTAAGGATCCACAGCTATCTCAGTGTGGCTTAAACCTTCGGTACCAGTTTCTTCCTTAGAACATAATTATGTCACCTGGTGTTCCCCAAGCAGGAATTTTTTGCTTTCATTTTGTGCCATCCCTTTCAATAAAGATTAGGTGAAATTGGAACAGCACTTATGTGGTGACCATTTGAGTGCTTGTTATGTGCCAGGCACTGCAGCAGCCTCTGGGGATATCTGCACAAGTAGTACAGGATCTCTCTCCTCTTGGAGCTGAACTTCTGGTATCGGAGCTGGGGAGGGGTGGGGATTGTATACTTTGAGCTTCCCGGAAGTGACTCAGAGCCAGATCAACATGGCGAAGAAGAGGCCACTTCTCAGGGCACAGAAGATGAGCAGTCCAATGATCTGCTTATGAATTTTCCACCCTTGCTTAGGATTAAGCCCCTTTCCTGACCACCCACTTTTTTCCCACCTAGAAACCTGGTTGCATGTTACCTTCTTATGAGTTGCAGTCAGTGCTTGGTGAGTTTTGTTTGTACCTAAACACAAATCATCGATATGGTGCTGGATGTTCTGTAACACTCCCCTATACCCTTTCCCAACTCTTAGTAGGGTATTGGAGTTAACTTCGTTGAGATAAGAAATCAGTAACAGTGGCCGGGTGCAGTGGCTCACGCCTGTAATCCAGCACTTTGGGAGGCCGAGGCGGGTGGATCACCTGAGGTCAGGAATTCTAGACCACCCTGACCAAAATGGTGAAACCCCATTTCTACTAAAAATACAAAAAAATAAATAAAAAATTAGCTGGGTTCCTATAATCCCAGCTACAAGGGAGTCTGAGGAAGGAGAATCACTTGAACCTGGGAGGCGGAGGTTGCAGCGAGCCAAGATTGTGCCACTTTACTCCAGCCTGGGTGACAGAGCAAAACTCTGTCTTAAAAAAAAAAAAATCAGTAACATTCAAGATAATTATTCAGTTTCTCATTTGTTTGAAGTTTCCCCACCACTTTGTTTCCCTGATAACATCTGTTTAAAAGGACTCTTCACCTGTGTTTTTTTTCTTTTCTTCTTCTTGCTCAAGGAAAGTCAGTTTAGAAGCCAGATTCCATTTTTATCTCTTTACTCGTCAAATAGCTTCTTAGTGATTTATGGTGTAGTAAACATTGCAAAACCCGACAACTAAGAAGCAAGTTCCATCTACTTAGAGTTTTCAATTAAAGCAGAAATGAGGCGTGACTGTCCTGTGTCAATCTGTACTTCATTCCAGCTTTCAAAGCTTTGTCCTCAGTTGCTGCTCTTAGTCCTTGCAACATTTTCTGATAAACTCTGAGAAATTAGACTGGCTGGCCCTTCTGCAGCATCTGCTCAGCGGTTTGGATATGGATGTGGCTCATGTCCTCTGCTCATGCTTATTCCTGTATTCAGTTCATTGAGTAAGGCGCCCATTTCAGAGGACTCGGAGGGGTAGCAAGAAATGTACTTTCTTTTTATTTTTTAACTTTTAATTTTTTAAAAATAACCAGTCTCTGCTTATCTTTCTATTATAAAATATATATAACCTGAAATTTACTGGTTTAACCATTTTTAAGTATACAGTTAGTCGTGTGGCAGTATGTACATTCACATTACTGTACAGGCATCAGTACTAGCCCACTGAAACTCCATTTTAATAACATCAAATCGTGACTGCCCATTACTCTCTCCCCCATCCCCTGGCAGCCACCATTTATTGTACTGCCTTGTTTACAAATGTACTACCATTCAGAGGTGGTACATCTGTGAAACAAGGCTAAGCGTAGAGATCTGAAATTTATATTATACTGCTATGATTAGTATTAACTTCAGGTATTTACTTCTTTTTAAAACAAATTTTTAAATTATTTTAATTGGCAAATAAACATTGTTTATATTTATCATGTACAACCTGTTGTTTTGAAATGTGTATACATTGTGAAATGGCTAAATTGAGCAAATTAACATGCATTACCTCCCATATTTTTCATTTTTTTGTGGCTACGTATTTCTCATTTCATTTCTGCAGCTCACTGTGCCATACATTTCACTTAACTAATAGTAGAAACACAGCCATCTTAGGTTCTGATAATTACTTATCTGCTTCTAGTGGTCAAAAAGGAATATGCTGGCCTCTGAGAGGCCAATTTTCCATGAGAAAATTATTAGTTATAGAATACTGATGACATATGCCATCTAAATCCTTGTGGGCTGAACTCCAAACCATTTGAGGTTTTTGTTTTGTTTTATTTTGAGACAGTCTTACTCTGTCATGAGGCTGGAGTGCAGTAGTACGATCTCAGCTCACTGCAACCTCTGCCTCCTGGGGTCAAGCAGTTCTCCCTGCCTCAGCCTCCAGAGTAGCTGGGATTATAGGCACCCACCACAATGCCTGGCTAATTTTTGTATTTTTAGTAGAGATGGGGTTTTGCCATATCGGCCAGGCTGGTTTTGAATTCCTAACCTCAGGTGATCTGCCCACTTCAGCCTCCCAAAGTGTTAAGATTACAGGCGTGAGCTACCACGCCTGGCCAAGTTGTTTTGTTTTTAAACATATATATATAATATAAAACAAAAGCAGTACATATTCACTGTGGAAAAGCTGGACAATATGGGTAAATAAGAACAAAATTAAAATCTTACTACTGAAGGATACCACTATTTGTCTCTCTGTTTCTATATCTGAATCCAGTTTGAATCATACAGAATATAATTTTTATGGTAAAAAATTGTTGGATATCGACAATTTTGTACAATTTAGCACATACACAGCACACTTTTATTTGGTAACTTCCAACGTGAATTTTAGACACAGATAAGAATGTCTTCCCTCGAGAGATCAGGGATAATTTTGATAGAATATTCATTTTTTGGCATTTGCTCACTTGCCATGTGTTGCTGAGCAGTCAGGTTATTTTTAGTACACTGCACTAGAGGAGTCTGAAGTCTGGACTAGTGATGAATTTTGTTGATCTTCCAACTCTAAATCTCTCCTGAGGGAAGAGAGTAGTTCTGGAACAAAGGATGGAGCCTGGGATAGAGAAGAAGTGGGCAGTGGCATGAGCTGGGCAGGGGTTAGCAGCTCTCCAGGATGTTGCCTCTTCCTTATTTCTTCTCTGTGATTATCAGCTCACAGTTTATTACTTTTTACTTTCACACTGCTTTTAACTGTGAGTTGTCCATAGTTCACCAACAGAAATCAGCTTTATGTCATGGGAGGAGATGATAAACTCTCAGTTTCTTGTTGTCACCTTGGGTAGCACCCTTTTAAGCTCTCTTAGCCTATTCCTTGCAATCAAATGGATGTCATAATAGCTGCTTTATCTAGTCACAGGTAATATGAGGACTGAATTTCATGTTTTGCATGAGTGGAATTTGTAAACTATTAAGAACCATGCATTGTTCTTATACTGACGTTTCCTATTTCGTTTTCTTAAACTTTTTTAAAAACAAATATTGTATATGTTTATGGTGTACAACATGATGTTTTCAAATATGCGTAAGTCGTGGAATGGTTCAATCAAGCTAACATTAGCTCATGTACCTTTTTAAATGGTGAGAACGCTTAAAATCTATTTTCTTAGCGATCTTTAAGTATACAGCACATTTTTATTTACTGTGTCACCATGATCTCTTGATCTTACTGCTTTCATCTAACTGGAATGTTCTGTCCTTTTGACCATCTCCTAATATTCCTTCTTCCACTTACCCTCAATCCCACTAAAAAATTCTAGTTACTTTTCTTTCTGTATCCCTAGGGACTTTTGAGATAATCTTTTTAGGTGATAACCATGGGATCTTTTTATTTTTAATTTCTTCATCTCTGATGCTGTATTCTGTTCTTTTTACCCTGTACCATTTTTTTTCTCACAAATTCCACAAAATTAGTCTATTCTTTTATCCTCCCCTAGTCACATGACTATACTTCAGGACAGCTGGTTCAGTTTGCTGATTTTTAGACTTATTTTTACCTCAATTACTTCATCAGATAAGGAAGCAGTTCTGAATCTGTACAGCTTTAACAGAAACAGTTGAATAACAAGAAGTTGAACTATCCAACAGTAGATTATAGTCATTTGTTGGACTATTCTAACATTTAAAAATATGTTAGAATTGTTAATAATGTAGAAAATGCTGTCAGGAGGATACAGTTAATTTACATTAAATAGGATTTCGGGTATGTATTACAGTGTGTAGAACATATGGCTGGAAGGAAATACTCCAAAATTTAAACAAAAAGTAACCACAAACAAGTGGGTTCAGTCCCTTTGTCTTATGATTAAGTTTGTGTCTTAGTTACCTGGTTTTGTACCAGGTGTTTACAGAATGTGGACTCTAGGGAGAGTTAGAGAAGGTTACAGGTGAATCAAAAACAGCAGAGATGCAAGGCGTGATGCAATAGATACCAAAAGCGGGTACAGACACATCCTGTGGTTGTTGAGTGAAGAGGGAGCTCCTTATGGCCAGGAAAGTGAGAATTCCCAGATCTCCTAGGAATGCAGTAGTTCATACTCAGTTCACACCTTGGATAAAAGCCAGGCCTAGATTCTTATAGACTCAAACAGGAAATTCCGATGGTGCATTTGAAACAGTATAGAATTCTGGGAATCCTGGACTGAAAATACAAAGACTTGAGTTAAATCTTTGTTTCATCACTGATTTTATCTGTGGCCTTAAAGCAAGTTTTGAGGCTTTGATCTTCCATTGCCTTTTATGTCACTTGTGGGTGGTAAATAATGCCTTCTGTGCCAGCCTCAGAATACTGTTGTCAGTCAGTGGGGATATATTGATTATGAATGCATTAGAAGGTCTATCAGTCTATTTAGATGCTGTGTATTTATGATTATTATAATCAACAGGATTAGAATTCTCTATTTGTCCCATGTACTGCCTGACAGAATGGACTCTGGCATCCACAATTTTTCAAACTTTTTTTTCTTTTTGTAGTTTCTGTCTCACTGTGTTACCCAGGCTGGTCTCAAACTCCTGTGCTCAAGCAGTCCTCCCACCTTGGCCTCCCAAAGTGCTGGGATTAGAGGTGTAAACACTGTGCCTGGCCAGCATCCACGATTTTGAGGGCATTTGTAGATCCAGAAAATGTTAGAATTTGTGTTGAATGAGAGAGTGGTGGACATAGATCCAGGAAAAACAAACTGGAAACAGGGGCTGGCCATTAGTCTTGGGGGAAGGAAGAGAAATGTTGAACATCTAGAAACCTTAGGAAGGTCAAGAATTCTGAAATACATACATCATTTGACCTAGTACTGCTTCTGAGAGTATATCCTATAGGTGTACTTGTAGGTATGCAGTATGGTATGTGTTAAAAGGTTATTTATTTCAGCATGATCTGTAATTGCAAATATTAGAAACAACCTGTATGTCCATCATTAAGAAGCAGGTTAAATAAATTTTGGCACATCCATATAATGTAATACTCTGCAGCTATAAAAATTAGTGAGGGCCAGATGCGGTGGCTCACGCTTGTAATCCCAGCATTTTGGGAGGTAAAGGTGGGTGGCAGATCACGAGGTCAGGAGATCAAGACCATCCTGGCTAACACAGTGAAACGCTGTCTCTGCTAAAAATACAAAAAATTAGGTGGCATGTGCCTGTAGTCTCAGCTACTTGGGAGGCTGAGGCAGGAGAATTGCTTGAACCCGGGAGGCAGAGGTTGCAGTGAGCTGAGATTCCGCCACTGTACTTCAGCCTGGACGACAGAGTGAGAGGATGCACTGATCTTAAAGATAATACTCCTAAGTGGAAAAACAAGGTCTACTACAGTTCTAGAGTATACTTTTTGTGCAAAAGAAGGTAGACAAATAAGAATATAGCTTTACTGTTGCACGTGTATGCATAAAGAAACTCGGGAAGAGTGTACCAGAAACTAACAGTAGTGTTTACTTGGGGGTAGCATGAGGGTCAGGGGGATAGTCTTGAAAGAGGGAAACTTCACTGCTTTACTGTATGTGCAGGTGTTTGTATTTTTTAAATTTTGAACCATGTAAATACGGTACTTCACAAATTTAAATTTAAAAGTATTTTTTTGTTGTTTTTTGAAGGAAAGCAATTCTTTGCAATTGGAGGCAAGTGAGGTTGTGGAAGACATGTTGAATAGTTGCTATATACTAGGTCATATCTGGAAATTTATTTGAATAAGAGAACCATTTGTTTCTTACAGGTTTATGGTCAAGGTTTAAAAAGAAATGTTTTAAGCTCACTAGGAAGATGCCCATTATTGGTCGTAAGGTAAGTGGAATCTGTATATGTTGTTTTTTTCCCCTCTTGAGCATCATACTTCTTTCTGTTTACTGAACCTAATATTCTCAAAGTGGAGGGGTGATTTTTTCCCCTTACCTCAGGGGACACTTAGCAGTGTTTGGAGAAGTTTTCTATTGTCACAGCTCAGATGGAGTGGTGCTCTTGGCATGTAATGGATGGTGGCCAGAAATGCTGCTGAACATCCTACAATGTACAGGGCTGCCCCCCTGACCCATCACAGAATTATCTGGCTGGAAATGTCAAAAGAGCCAAGGTTGAGAAACCCTGACTTAACCCTTTCTCCAACATAAATGGCCAAAGGAGAGATGAGAAGCCTGTTAAGGAAGTAAGAATTTGAAATGAGAAGACTTGACTGTAGTGTTATGGTGCTTTGGAACAATATGTGGCTGGCTGACTTGAGATATTTGTCTAGGAGTTGGGTGCTCACAGGGTTTAGGTTAGGGGTCTGCAAACGTTTTCTGTAATGGGCTAGATATGAAACATTTTGGGCTCCGTAGGCCATACCGTGTCTGTTGCAACTCCTTACCTCTGCCCTTGTAGAGGCACGGCAGCAAGAGGTTCAGGAATGAGCCTGGCTCTGTTCCAGTGAAACTTTCTTTGTTAATTCAGGTATGCCTTAGTAGGTTCCTGGCTGTAGTTTGCTGATCCCAAGTTGCAGAGCACTGTCACTTGCTCTTCGCACTTATCTATATTATAGTATGTCCCCTTTGTTACTTCCTCTTTGCCTTCACCCATGCTGAGGATAAGGTAGTCACCTCTATGCCTCCCACAGGTTCTTTATCACAGATGACGATAAACAGGGCAGGCCCCTTGGCAAGTTCTCAGGAAGGCTTGGCATCTTCATCTCCTCCAGTGCCTTCCCCTCACCCTCCTTTGGTCTTTCCCAACTTTACCTGCATTCAAGTTTTCTTTCACTTTGGGCTTTCAGTTTTCTTTCCTGGCTATACCAGGGGTCCTTCACTGACTCCTTATCTAAAAGGTTACCATTTATCTTTAGCCTTTGGCTGAAATCCATTCAGGCTGCTGTGCTAACTCTCCCAGAGATATGTATCTTCAGGTTCATTTTCTGTAGGGGAGTGGAAGCAATAAATGGGGTGGTGAAGGGGGATGTGAGCACATAGGCTTCTGTTTGCTCTCCAAATTATATTAATCCCTAAAAGTAAATCTAGCCCTTACAGAGTATAAGGGGTGGGAACACGGAAGGTATTGTAGAAGATGGACTATAGCACAAATTAAATTAGTATTTCCCCTTATTTCCTGCATTTTTTTTTTCTTCTCACTTTATTCAGTATCCAGACTTTGAGACAAATAAATGCTAGGGTTCCAGAACCCATTCTTTAACTTATAAAGTAAATATCCTTAGCTTGCTAAGGGCTATCTAATCACCCTCTATTTTTTCAGAAGCAGATTCTGAGACTTAGAGACAAAAAGTTACATGTGTGTGTGCACGCACATGTGCGTCTGTGCATATGTGTAGCTCTCTGTCATTTATTCACTTATCAACACATGTTTATTGAGCCACCTGCTCAGTGTCAAGTACTTTTCTGGGTGCTGGGGATGTGGTGGTGAATAAGACCAAGCTCTTCCTCTCATGGAACTTACTTTTTTATTTTTTTGAGATGGAGTCTTGCTCTGTTGGCCAGGCTGGAGTGCAGTGGCATGATCTCGGGCTCACTGCAACCTCTGCCTCCTGGGTTCAGGCGATTCTCCTGCCTCAGCCTCCTGAGTAGCTGGGATTACAGGTGTGCACCACCATACCTGGCTAATTTTTGGTATTTTTAGTAGAGACAGGGTTTTACCATATTGGTCAGGCTGGTCTCAAACTCCTGACTTCATGATCTGCCTGCCTCAGCCTCTCAAGGTGCTGGGATTACAGGCATGAGCCACCGCGCCCAGCCAGAACTTATCATTTTAATAGGAAAGACAGAAAATAAATCAGTAAACAAATACATGGAATGTTATTTTGAAGAAATTAAAATTGGGTACCATAATATAGGCTTTGCGGCAAGAATTGGGAGTAAGGAAGTACTTGCTGTGCTCTCTAATACACCTCTGTCATCTGTTGTCTGGTTTATTTTATGGCAATAGCATACTCTGTGCATGGAAGCTCAGCTTTCATAGCCTGTTCTGTTGCATGAGTAATTATTTATGTGAATTAATTTTTAAATTTACAACTTAAAAAATATCTTCACATCCACAGCATGCCTGAGAATTGCCCAGGAGTGTAGCCTCTGCTCTCTGCTAGTGCGGGTCTGTTAGACTATTTGCAGGTGTGCTCAAAAAGAGTGGCTTACCCTGTGGTTTCATCAAGGGCCATATCTAAGAATAACTCTTTCTTCTAATCATCCATGGCTAGAGATGAGAAAATCTTAGTGTGGAGTAAGTTCTTGAGTTCTTTAGCAAATATATTGCTGAAACAGTAGCACTGTGACATGAACAAATTGTGACATGTAGCTTCTCTCCCCAAACCTACTAACCAAGAGTCTTTTGCTGTAAGCCGAAGGCCCTACCCTTCTGCCTCTTTACTCTGCTATTTTTTTTTTCCTCAGCACTTTTTGCTACCTGACTTACTTTCTGTCTCTCCTGCTGAAAATAAACTTCATGAGGACAGGAGGTGTTTTTTAGTTGTTTTTTTTCCTGTGTTCTTCACTGCCTAAAAGTTTGTTTTGTTCACTGTATAGCCCCAGCCTGCGTTTTGTTAAGTGAATAAAAGAAAATGCCTTAGAAGCTATGGCTTTGAGGATGGAAGAGAAGAGAATCATAGTTGATAAATGGCATAGCAGAAAGGACCTTAGCTCCTCCTAACATTTTGGGGTCAGACGGTGCAAGCTTAAGGAGACACATTGGAGCCTTCCGGGCAATTCTTAGAATGCCTTGTGCTTGTATTGCATGGGGCCTCCAAATTCCTGGTGTGCTGTGTGCATGTGTGTTGATGGAGCTCATCACTTGCACAAGGACCAGAATGCCTTTTATTGCAGCATGGCCAGTTTTCTGGCTACTGTTCGTAGTTGTACCTTTGATTCTTTTACACACATGCTGTAGTTGCTGCCAAGGCAGGATCAAAGTCCAAATATTGCCCTCAGGGATGTGCTGACTTTAGCAATGCAAACAAAGGGAAGCAGCAGTGATAACAGCATGGCAGATAAATGGGTTAAGGGGAAACTGGGTGCATCTTTTTTTTTTTTTTTTTTTTTTGAGACAGAGTCTTGCTCTGTTGCCCAGGCTGGATGGAGTATAGTGGTGTGATCTCTGCTCACTGCAACCTCCACCTCCTGGGTTCAAGTGTTTCTCATGCCTCAGCCTCCCAAGTAGCTTGGATTACAGGCACCTTACACCATGCCTGACTAATTTTTGTATTTTTAGTAGAGTTGGGGTTTCACCATGTTGGTCAGGCTGGTCTCTACCTCCTGACTTGAGGGGATCCACCCACCTCGGCTTCCTGAAAAGCTGTGGTAACAGGCGTGAGCCACCGCGCCCGGCTGAGTGCATCTTGACCTTTAGAGAGAAGCTTCACTTTTCAGATTTTTCAGAGGCCGTTGTACGTGCCAGAAAGTAGCTGACCAGTCAAAATATCACCATATATCTTTAAGAAAAATGTTATCTAGTTACTTGTGCAGTGCCCAGCATTGAGCAGTTGCTTGAATGTCATAATGGTTCTGCTGTCTCTACTATACTCTTGCATCTGATTAACTTTGTCCTTCTTACCTTTGGAGATTCAAGACAAGTTGAACAAGACCAAGGAGGATATTAACAAGAACATGTCATTCCTGAAGGTGGACAAAGAGTATGTGAAAGCTTTGCCCTCCCAGGGTCTGAGCTCATCTGCAGTTTTGGAGAAACTTAAAGAGTACAGCTCTATGGGTATGATGCTTGGCATATACATGCTCTCTGCTTCCTTAAAGCAACTGGTTTTGTCATTGTTTAATGTACACATGGGTGAAGAATAACTCATCGTTGGTTCTTACATGTTTAGGAGGGCCTACTCTCTGTTTCTCAGGTTGAATTTCATATTTTTAAAATTATGTTTAGATTCATCCTTCATCCATAAAGCAAGCAAATCTCAGAGGTAGTGGAACTTTGCTTTATTTCCTTTTGTAAGCATGACTGAAACAAATATGTTTGTGTTTAAGAAGAGAGAATATCAGCTATGTAATACAAATGAAATACAGATTCATGTAAAAATGTGAAATCTGCATAAAGGCACAAAGAAAAATAAGTCACTATAATTCCATCATCAGAGATAAAGAGATGATATATATCTATATGCATGGAGCTACAGGTAGATCTGTCTATATAGGTTTACATCTATCTATATCTGTATATCTATCTGTTTCTGAGAATGCTAATAGTGTTTGTGTGTGTTTATACACATATATGCATGAGCACATACCTGATAGATAATACACCAGATAGCTTGGTGCTTAAGAGCATAACCCAGGAACCAGCCTGGATTCAAATCTTGGTTTGCCACTTAAAGTATGCCTTTGGTGAATTACTTAACTTGTGTATGTCCCAGTTCCTGTATCTCTGCAATGGGGATAGTAACATCAGTAAAGTACTTACCTGAAAAGGTTGAATGAAATCATACATGTGTAAATGTTTTATAGTGCCCGGCATATAGTAAGTGTTCAGTAAATGTTAACTATTATTGCTGTTAACTCTAACAGATTCATGTTTGTTACTGATTAAGATCATATTACAAGTACTTTTAAAAAATAACTCTAACAGATTCATGTTTGTTACTGATTAAGATCATATTACAAGTACTTTTAAAAAATAAGCTTTTTAGTTTGACATAATTTTATATTTATAGAAAAGTAGCAAAGATGATAGAGATTTCCATATACCCTTCACTCAGCTTTTCCTGATGTTACCATCCTCTATAACCATGGTATGTTTATCAAAACTAAAAAATTAATATTGGTGCAGTGCTATTAACTACACTACAAATTCTTTTGCTAGTTCATCAGGATTTTTTGTTTTGTTTTGCTTTGTTTTGTTTTAAACTGTTCTTTTTTCTATTCTAGGAGCCAATCCAGGATATCATGTTGCATTTTGACAAATACCCTTAATTTTTATTTTTTGAGGCAGAGTCTCACTCTGTCTCCCAGGCTGGAATGCAGTGGTGCGATCTTAGCTCACAGCAACCTCTGCCTCCCAGGGTTTAGCGATTCTTATGCCTCTGCCTCCTAAGTAGCTGGGATTACAGGTGTGGGCCACCATACCCAGCTAATTTTTTGTGTTATTAGTAGAGATGGGATTTCACCATGTTGCCCAGGCTGGTCTTGAACTCCTGAACTCAGGTGATCTGCCTGCCTTGGCCTCCCAAAGTGCTAGGATTACAGGTATGAGCCACTGTGCCCGGCCTTGACAAATACCTTTATAATTTCTAAGTGACATGTGTTGAGGTCTTGACATTGAATAGTACAAAATTTGATATAGTCTAGGATGTAGATGAATAAAGCAGGGGTTAGCACCCTAAAACCTGTGTGTTGAAGATTTCCATGATTATGAGAGCTGGTTGCCACAACCATATTGCCTTCTTCAATGTTTAAGTCACTGTCCATTGCTGTGTTCTCTAGCATCAGTAAAAGAACAGGAAATGAAACCAGGTAACTTATTTTTGAAAGGCTGGTGACCTCTGGTCTGAAGATGTGCATGGTACAGAGCAGTGTCCTCTAAGGAAAGAGTGAAAGTCAAATGGGCAGCAAGCCAGAGCTTGGCAGATTGGTGTGAGAATGAGTTTGTCTGTATATTTACCACTCAGTTTTCTGTTCTCAAAAGCTGAAGATCTTTGCTTTGGAAAGTCTATGGCTCCATGCGGTTTTTAGTTAGTATGTTACTGTAGTAGCTTTCTCACTACCCACTTTCAATAGGGCACAGCTGCATTGTAGCAGAAGGACCTGAGACACCCACAGCAGCAGAACTATGGATAAAATGAATGTCTCCCGGGGAGAGAGGAAAGTGGAAAGTCAGATCTTATATTCTAGTCAGGAACTTCACTTTTCTTTCAACACTGGGATAAAGGAGGTCTATCCCAATGTTGACTGTGTTCCTGATCTTGAATGCTACAGCATGTGCTGCTGGAAGCAGGTAGCTAGTTCTGTGTGGGTTTCCAGGTTTGACTGAGGGAGTGGCCTCTGAGACCAGGGTGCTCATGGTTTATACCTCATTGTGGTTTGTTTTCTCGTTTTGTCTCTGATGATAGTGTGCTGAAATTTCATACTTCTCGTCTTGCTTTTTTCTGCCAACTCTGCCCATAACCGTTCTCAAAAGTCCTAGGACTGGTTAGGAAGGGAGAGAAGAAGGAAGCTATTGCAGAAAAAGGTCACTCCAAAGCCATACAGAGAATAGAAAATAAGTATAGACCAAGGAAAATGTTTCTGCTGTTAGAAGGCAGTTGAAGATGAGGAAAATGTTATTGTCGGACTGTTTTTATTGTACCTAAATGCTATTAATGTCTTTTTCACATTGCTGATAATAATTATTTTTTATCTTTATTGGGCTGTTTATTGAACTTTTTTCTGTTTACTATAAGAATGCTATTGGGTTTCCACTCAACTTTTTTTTTCTTTTGTACCCAGAGAGGTTTCTTCCTGTTTGTTCTTTATTAGAACCTGTCTTCCCAGAGATTCCTGCTTACTGACCCAGTGATCTTACCTTTCTCTGCAGATGCCTTCTGGCAAGAGGGGAGAGCCTCTGGAACTGTGTACAGTGGGGAGGAGAAGCTCACTGAGCTCCTTGTGAAGGTAGGCATCCAGTTCTTGAGGGAAGCCTGTGAGATCTGTGCCAGTTTACATGACCTCCTTTTTTCTCCTTACTTTTGTAATTAGAAAAATTACTTAAGGAAAGCTTATTTTTACAATAAAACCATGAAAGTTTCTCTTCACCCAGACATAAGCAAATATATATAATATTATCAAAGACATCTTCAGTCTGTAATATAGTAAAATGGTATTTAGGTTTTCAGGCTTTGTAGATTTCCTATGTAGAAGGCAGATTACTAGGGAAGGTAAGTCTGTTACATGAGATTTTTTATGGTGAGACAGATTTTGTTTGGTAAGAAAAGATAAGAAAACCCTCTCATAATTTTCGCAAATCATGTAACCCAAGATGAGCAGTGGTCTCACATGTACTTCAAATAATTTTCATTGTTAGCTTCTTTCATTTCTAATCAAATTTATTTATTTATTTTAGAGTCAAAATCTCACTCTTGTCACACAGGCTGGAGTAGAGTAGTGTGATCATGGTTCACTTCCTGCAGCCTTGACCTCTTGGGGTCAAGTGATCCTCCCACCTCAGCCTCTTGAGTACTTGGGACTATAGGCGTGCACCACTATGCCCAGCTAATGTTTGTATTTTTTTTTTTTTTTTTTTTTGGTAGAGAAAGGGTCTCACTGTATTGCCCAGGCTGGTCTTGAACTCCTGGCCTCAGGCAATCCTCCTGCCTTGGCCTCTGAAAGTGTTGGGATTACAGGTGTGAACCGCTGCACTCAGCCCTCACATTTATTTTTATTTATTTATTAATATGGAATGCTTCACAAATTTGCGTGTCATCCTTGCACAGGGGCCATGCTAATCTTCTCTGTATCGTTCCAGTTTTAGTATACTTGCTGCCAAAGGAGCACCTCATACTTATTTTTGAAAGTCCACTTCATCATATAAAATTGGGGTTGTACTGATGGTCTCTAATGAAACTACTTACACTTTACTAAATAAATATGATAGGTTTTACATAGCTTGGTGTAATGCTCTGATTTTCTGTGCTTAAAATCTTTCAGTAGCTTCCCATCATCTATAGGATGAAAAAGGTTCTTATGCAGCAGAGAATACAAGTTTCTTCCTGAGCCAACTCCCACCTTTCTTTTCTTAACTACTTCTCTTTATTTCCCACATAAACATTAATTCTGCCTTTTCTCTTTACTGAATGTGTCATGCTCTCGTCATGTTGTTTTCCTTCCCTTCCATCATTCCTCTTGTTCTAAATTATGATTCCTCCTTACCTCTCAAAGTTCCACTCGGTGGACACCTCTAGACCACTCAGGATGTTAGTTGTTACCTCTTCAGAGTCCTTTAATGCTCTGCACACAAATCTGGTATTGCAGTCGATAACAGCTGCTTTTTGCCAGACACTCTACTAAGTCCCTCACAAACATTATGTTATTATTGCTAGAATGCTAGAAGATAGCTACCGTAACTTCTTCTGCATATAAAGAAACAACCTGAGATCATTTGACGTACACGGCTGAAAGTGACAGGCAAAGCTAAGATTTCCTGCTGGGTCTGTTTGGTGTTATAGTCTGCTCGTTTAACCATATTTATACTTCTTTCCTTACCACATTGTAAAATTATTAATTTACATGTCTGTCTTCTCCACTATGTTTTGATCTTTTTTAGGTTGAGGAATATATCTTACCTTTTTTTCCAGTTCCTATCATTGTGCCTAATACTTAGAAACTCTTTAGTGCGTGACTCTTTGTCCTGTATAGTGTAATAGTTTAATTTCACATCTGCTTGCATTTCTTTGCAGGCTTATGGAGATTTTGCATGGAGTAACCCCCTGCATCCAGATATCTTCCCAGGATTACGCAAGATAGAGGCAGAAGTTGTGAGGATAACTTGCTCCCTGTTCAATGGGGGACCAGATTCATGTGGATGTGTAAGTATATGCAAGTGGCATCCAATAGCCTTATTTTTTAGGTTAAAATAGAGGAGTTTATTAAAAATATTTTACTACACAAGTAATATTTGATCATTGTAGAAAGATCATCTTACTACTCAAGGAATTTTTGATCATTATAGAGAGATCCTAATTAACTGCAGTTTTAAATGTTGCTTGTAATTTTGTAATCCAGAGAATGTGAACATTTTGGTATATATTCTTATAGATATTTTTCTCTTCACCTTTTTATTTTGCAAAACTTTGAACGTACATTCAATTGCTAGGATAGGTTAAAGAACACCTTGGATTCACTAAATGTAAATATGTTGCCATATCTGCTCTCTACACTCCTTCCCTCCCTACCCCCTTCTTCGCTTATCCCCCACCCGCACACCTACCATCCCCCTATTTATCTGTGTATACTTTTGTTGAGCCATCCTGCAGTGTTTTTAATATACTTCTGGTTTTACCTGAGCCAAAGTTTAGTTTATTATTTTGCTTTAAACTGAACCTCATTTAGTTGGTGTAAGGAATCAAGAAAGCAAGAAGACATCATTCTATTTAAAGAAACGCATGAGAATTCCTTGTTTGACCTGTTGTTTCAAGCAGATGATTGTTAGTTTTCCTAAACTTCTGTTTCGATCTATTGTCTTTAGAAAAAACTAAATCTCAGGTTATGTAGGATAGATAGATTTAGGTGCTAATCCTATTAGATGCTCATCATATTTGCAGTCATTATAAAAACTGCAGATTTAATTATTGAAGGGCCCATTTGAAGACAAGGACACCTAATAGTTTAGTTTAGTTTTTCTCCGGGAAGCATTGTTTTTCTTTTGTTTTTCTAATATGTTGGCACCATGAAAATCATCGTGTTCAGTAGTAATAAAAGTGATATTCCTGGCATTCATTTTCAAAACAAAATACTGAAACTGTTAAAAAACAGAACCACCTATAATATAATAACAGTTTTCCTTAGAGTATTGAGGTGAACAGGGTCACTTTCAGAGGGAAGCTGATAATGTACTCACAATATATTCTCCCATGCCATTAGACTCTTGAAGAACTTAAAAGAGGCCACAGAGTAAACAGCCACAGAACAGTTTGGCCTTATCTGGTAAATTTCAAGATACATGTATCTTGTGACCCAGAAATTCTGCTACTCCGGACATACTCTAGAAAAATTAGTACACGTTTATATCAGGGTATATGGACATTTATATTCATAGCAATGGTCTGGGCACAGTGGCTCACACCTGTAATCCCAGCACTTTGGGAGGCCAAGGCAGGCGGATGGTGGATCACAGGTTAGGAGTTGGAGACTAGCCTGGCCAATATGGTGAAACCTCATCTCTACTAAAAATAGAAAAGTTAGCCGTTCGTGGTGGTGGCTACTCAGGAGGCTGAGACAGGAGAATTGCTTGAACCTGGGAGGCGGAGGTTTTAGTGAACCGTGATCGCGCCATTGCACTCCACCCTGAGCGACATGTGAGACTGTCTCACAGACACAAACATAAATAAATAAATAAATAAATAATTTATAAATAAATAAATATTCATAGCAATGTTATTCGTGATAGCTCAAAACTGGAAATAATTCAAATGCCTATACACGGTACACAGATGGATAAATTGTGGAATGCTGTGTGTGCCTTAGTCCATTGTAGCTGTTATTCAGATTGATGCTCAAATTACTTCATCCATGTTCGGCTGGTGAGAACATCTTCGTATTGGCTCCTAGGTCCATTTGTATGACCCAAGTAATCTTTGAAAGCCTTTTCTCTCTTTCTTTCCTTTTTTTTTTTTTTTTTGACAAAAATTTCATGTTCACTGTCCATTTCCTGCTCCAGGCCTACAATCAGCCATTTGTCCAAGGAGCTCTGGTTCATTTAAAACTAGGGAAAATAAGTACATAGTTCCAAAGTCACATTTATGGAATAAGACAGATGCAAAAAAAAAAAAATTAACCAGAATGCAGTCCAGAGACAAAGAAATAGAAAATATGAAAGAAACGTTAAGAAATGCAAAGGATAGAATGAGAAGGTTAACACACATCTAATTGGTGTTTGAGAGCAGACAGAGAACATAGATAACCTCAAGGCATAACTGTTATTCTCTATAGCAACAATGGCTAGGGCAGGTGGGGGTAGATGAAGGGTTGGCTGTAAATTGAAAATTGTTGGAGCCTGATGATAAGTAGAAGCCCATTGGGCTTTTAAATTTTATTTACTATAATTTCATTCTTGAATTCTGTTTTGTAGTTGTCCTTTTATTTTATGGTTTTTTTTTTTTTTTTTTTTTTTGAGACAGGGTCCCACTCTGTCGCCCAGGCCAGGGCGCAGTGGTGTGATCTTAGCTCACTGCAGCCTTGGCCGCCCTGGGCTCAAGTGATCCTCCCACCTCAGCCCCCCGGAGTAGCTGGGACTACAGGCATGCACCACCATGCCTCGCTGATGTTTTGTTTGTATTTTTGGTAGAGACAGGGTTTCACCATGTTGCTCAGGCTGGTTTTAACTCTGACCTCAAGTGATCTGCTTGCCTTGGCTTTCAAAGTGCTGGGATTACAGGTGTGAGCCACCACACTTGGCCGTCTTTTTTTTTGTTTTGAAATCTGTTTAGTTGTTTTTTTATAGTTCCTTTCCTTGGCTTAAATTTTTATACTTAAATATATTACACATAAATATTTTATCCTCCGTTTCTGGTAATTCCAATATCCATGAGCCTTACCTATCTGGTTCTGCTGGCTTCCGTCATGGTTCCTTGTTTCCTTATATTTGTGATTGTTTTAATATGAGCCACTCATTTTTCTGGGAACCTAGGGATTCTTTGAGGCCTAGATTGCAGTTAAGTCTGGAAGTTCTCTTCTTCCAGAGAAGATTTGTCATACTTTTGTAAGTTGCTAGGGATTGCCACCACACTGGAACCAAATTAAGCCCAATTCTTAGCTTGTCATTTTGTTCCACAGAGGTAGTGTGAATTCTGACCACAGACTCACATAAAGACTCCGTTGTTTCACATTCTTGAAAGATTCTTATTTTTCTTTACTTGAACATCAGGGTTGAGAAAACAGTTTTTCTTTTCTTTCCTCTTTTGCATTACTGGGATTTATTTCTTGTACACCTAAGAGTCTGTTTTTTTCCAGCCATCTCCTGTTGAACTCCTTACCTTGGGCAGTCTCTAAATGTATTTTCTGGTCCATCCTTTGCTCACCTGTCAGTGTAGGAGTTTGAAGTCTGTAGGGGTTGCTGCCACCCTCAGGGTGAAAGCTAGTTTTGGTGTTCTCTTATTTTGCAGGATTCTTGATTTTGCTTTGTTTGGGGGTTTTGTAAGTTTCTTTATGTTAGCTTAATGATGGGTTTAAATTTTTTTTTTTATGTTTCATTAAGTTTTTTAGTTATTTCAGTTAGGAGGGTTGCTCAAGGTATATAATCTATATTGCTGAAAATAGAAGCTCCGTGACTGTTTTTTCCACGTGACAGAGCTTTGTATATTTGAAAGCCCCTTTCTCCCTGAATCTTCTCTTCCCCGAATTTTTCTGGATTACTCTGCTGCTTATATGATTTCACAGCTGTCCAGCCATCACAGTCATTCTCTGAATGTCTTTCGGTTGTCTCTGGCCTGACTGAACACGGTTCTCCATGTGTGGAGTGGCACTGATCTTTCAGTCTCTATCTTTTGAATCTGGGTTCACTAACCTTTTCCTTGAAGTCAGCATTTTTATTCTCGGCAATGTTTATTTCTTGCTGTTCCTAATGTTTTTATTAGTTCTATGTGGATGCTACTGGCTTTGTTTTTTTTTTAGGTCTGTAGCTCATTCTGTTGTTCCATAGTCTAGGCTTTGAACTCTTTGTTTTCTTAAATTCATGTTCTCATGATATTTTCCTATAGTGAGAGAGTCGTGAGGAGTTTCCTTCTGTCTCTTAGCTTGTTTCCTTTTGAGGTGGGCTTTTATTTTGCATGCTATGTGCTACCTTTTCCCTTGCTTCTCAGTATGTTTGCATAGTTGCCTTGCCATTTTCTCTCATCCTGGGGTGGCATTCTCCAGTCCTTGTTTATTCTTATGCACTGTGGGCGCTTCTTGTCTGAGACCATTTGGTTGGGGACAAAGTCAGCCAAAGCTTTGTTCTGTCTGTAAGAGAATATCTGGGTTTGTTCTGAGATTCTCTTAAAAATTACCTATCAGAGTTCACTCTTATTTGAAAGAGATAGTACTCTTTGAGCTCTGATTATTTATTTAATTCACTTACGTTTTCACTGTAAAGAGCCAGTCCTGATGTTCTCTCTCCCATTTTGCTCATTTCTCCCTAGCAGCCATGTTTACCACTCATGAGAAGAGGAAGAAGATAAGGAAACCCCCTGAGCTTGCCTCTCTGCAGGTTTGGGGGTCTAAAGGAAAATTCTCAGGATTTTGCTGATTTTGCAGTACAGTTTTAGGGGCTGATTAGAAACTAGTGTTTTGTTTACTTCTGCTTTCTGTTGCCTCTCTCTCTCTCTCTCTTTCTTTCTTTTCTTTTCTTTCTTTTTCCCAATATTTGAAGTTTATTACATTAGATTATTTCTCTTTCCTTATTTGATGGTGGTTGTAGGTTTTGACTCTTTTTTCCCACTGCCAACACCTTTTTTTTTTTTAAATTCTTACCTTACTCCAGAAGTCCAGGCCTAAGGTTTTTTTTGTATTGTTGCAATTAAACCATTTCTCTCTTATTATGACTTTCTTCAGCACATGTGTCAGGAATCAGGAGAAGGATGGCATGATTCCCAGGCTCTTCTAATATTTGGACTTTTATAAGATAACTAATCAGCATTGGCATTGTCTTTTTCCCTCTCCTGCTCCTGTCTCCCCGACTCCTCCCTTAGCTTCTTATTTCTCTCTCTCTGGATGAGCTGATTTTGCTGAAGAAAGAGTTCAGTGTTCAGAGTGGGAAGCAAGAAGACAAGGCCAAATGGCTGGGCAGTCTTTAGGCTATTCCTAGCTAAGAGTTGTAAGCTCTTTTCATTCTTTGTTCTTCAACCTTAAAGGATCTTTCCTTCTATTAACTGTGTTTGTCTCAGTCACAATGATAGAGATAACTTCACATACTGAAAGAAATTAGGTTACCATGTGAAACATTCTTCTTGTCTTGTGCTAATGTCATCAGATCCAGACAGCATCTGAGAGAAAATTTTCCAAGTAGATGGTGTTCTCTTGTTTTCTGAAATACATACTGTATGTTAAAGTGAGAGTTTTTATACATGTTGAAAGAAGTTGAATAACATAACAGGTAGTTACTGAGGCCTCCATTTTCTTACTTCACAGTTGAAATTTCTGTTTTTTCTTTGGGTATAGAAGGTAGAAAGAAGTGGAATTTGTCTTGCTTAGGATTGAAAATTAAACAATAAAAAAAAAGAAGTGGAAGAGTAATACAATTTTAAAACACAGAATCAGAAATAAAACTTAAAAGTAGAATTTAGGGCCAGGCATGGTGACTCACACCTGTAGTTCCAGCACTGTGGAAGGCTGAGGTGAGTGAATCACTTAAACCCAGGAATTCGAGACCAGCCTGGGCAACTTGCTGAAACCCTGTCTCTGCAAAAAATACCAAAGTTAGCCAGGCATGGTGGTGTGTACCTGTAGTCCAAGCTGCTCTGGGGGCTGAGGTGAGAGAATCTCTTGGGCCTGGGAGGTAGAGATTGAAGTGAGCCAAGATCACACTGTGACACTCCAGTCTGGGTGAAGGAGTGAGACTCTGTCTCAAATAAAACAGAACAAAGTAGAATTTAGATATTCCTACTTTTGCAGTCAAAAGTACACTGGTGTTTACATAACAATGATGTTTTGACTAGTTATTGGACTAGAAATAGGCCACATGAAGCAGGTGACTAGGAATTTGGAAATATTTTTGCTGAGGTCATTACTGGACCTTCGGAAGAGATTGACGCATTGGAGACTTGGACTTTGCTGGTCCCTTCCCAGCTTTCTTCACAGCTGGCGTGGCTCCTCGCGTGACCTTCTGAGGTTTTATGCTATACCACAGGACATGCTGCTGATTTGCAGAGCTAACCTCAGCTGTAAGCACTTTGTCTTCTGCAACACAGAAGTACAGAGACCTACAAGCAAGTGTCCCATGCCCAAGTTCAATGTGTTATTTTGTGGTGATGGTCACATGTTTCATAAAGGCTTCCTGATTCAAAAAATGACTTAACTTCTCTCAGCTAATCTTCTATGTAACTCCTGGCCACAGGGATTCTGTATCCAATGGTATTTTTATCCTATATGTGGATATTATTTTAGGAAAGTTCAGTGGTCACTTTCTCTGATTCCATCTTGTATTAAGCTACACTGAATATCAAAATGTAGAAAGTTTTACTTCTGATCAGCAGATGCTAATGTATGACATTGAGTGAAGACTTTAATTTCTCAAGGGCTCAGTTTTCTCACCTGTAAATTGAAAAAACCTTTCAAAGATTATATGAATATTCAGAGATATTAAGTCTAAGAAGTTGTCCAACTAGTTTAGTGCTGTGGCTCTTTGTTTTGTAGTGATTCATTCTCATATATTATTTAAAAAAAAAATAGCCAGGTGGCTCTGACATGCCTGTGTGGGTCAGGGTTTACTGAGAGTCAGGTCAGGCATTAAGAAGTGTGGAGGCCAGGTGCAGTGACTTACACATGTAATCCCAGCTCTTTGGGAGGCTGAGGTGGGCAGATCACTTGAGGCCAGGAGCTCAGGACCAGCCTGGCCAACATGGTGAAATTCTGTCTCTACTAAAAATACAAAAATTAGCCAGTGGTGGTGGGTGCCTGTAATCCCAGTTACTCGGGTAACTGCGGCAGGAGAATCACTTGAACCCAGGAGGCAAAGGCTGCAGTGAGCTGAGATCACGCCATGGCATTCCAGCCTAGGCAACAGAGTGAGACTCTGTCTCAAAAAGAAAAAATATAGATTGAGGGTCTGTTTGGTGTCAGCATCCATGCTAGGTGCTAGGAATATTATGATAAACAGATTGGTTCCTACTGTCGTGAATCTGTAGTCCAGTGAGGAAAATAAGATGAATAAAAAGATCCCTATGTCTTTCTGTTTGAACTCTGGTAAAGAAATTTGTTTATCAGAGGGGCTAGGCCAAGCTTTAGGAAAACGTTTTACTTCATTTTAAAAAAATAGGATTTTTGTTTTATTCCAAATAAGGCAACAAACTTCTATCAATAGAAACTTCTGCTATTCTCTCTCTTTCAAACTTGTCAAAACCGCCAGTTTACTTTGGAAAATCTGAATGTCTCTTTTTAGCATATTGCACAATTTACTAAAATTGTAACATCACAATTTCACATTCTTTAACAGGCATTGAAGACTTAAATAAAATAATTCTGGTATTTTTGAATGGCATAAAATGCCCTATCTTATCTGAAAATGGAAAAATTAACACAGAAATGTAAATGGATTGTGAATACGTGGGATCTGGGCAGATGTGCATTTGTCTAGACAGTGCTGAGCTTCTGCCCATTATTTAGTAGCTTCCATTCTTCTGAACCAAAATTAGGTTTAGCCAGCAAAGCCAAATTTTCCTTCTGGAAGACTGCCTTGCAGTGTCTGCCTTGCAGCATGCATCCAAGACCTTACCTATTTCTATATCAAACACTGTCAAGATCCGGGCATGAAGAATCAGGGCATCCCTGACTCTCCCCCAGCAGATGGCATCTCTTCTTTATTATAGGTGACTTCTGGGGGGACAGAAAGCATATTGATGGCCTGCAAAGCATATCGGGACCTGGCCGTTGAGAAGGGGATCAAAACTCCAGAAATGTATGTATGTGTGGCTGTTTTGTCTCCTTTTGGATTTGTCTGTTTGGAGTACTGCTATATGAAACAGAGCCAGATGGTCTGTTTTCCTGCTGCTTCTCTTCCTCTGGTAATTCTTGTCCCCTTTTCCCCTATCCTAGCTCTTCTGCCCTTATCCTTTTACATTCAGTAAAATTCTAAATGGATCAACCAGTTATTTTTAAAGATCATTCCCATCCCCTCATCACACATAGTATATACTACAAGCAAAAATGAGATACTTTTTCCAAAAAGTGAGTTTGAAGACTATGTCTTTGAATCCTGTGATGTTTGTAAATTATTTGGAGCCAGAAGAAAGCTCTCTAGGTACCTTAGTTCTACTTATTTTAGAAAATCACTTAATATTATAGGCTGCCTCCAGGATACTCTCTGGGAAAATTTTAGTGTGAGAGAAAATTTTAGGCTGTTTTCTGAAAGGAAGAATAAAAACATCTTATCGAGATTTCCCCACGTTACCTTCCTTGGACATAAATTTCATGTTTGGTTACATTATTTTCCCTAGACTATCCCTTTGTACAGTATGTTTATCCTACATCTTAATATTTTTTACCACAAGTGTCAGTGACAGAGGGGATTTATTGCATATGGTCTCATGCTGTGATTCATACTTAGCATCAGAGAATAAACCAGGCTGCCATTCTTTCTTCATACGTCACTCTTTGGTGCTTGGTAGTTCTTCAGCAGTAGAGATTTTTCTCCTTAAAAGGCACAGATTTGTTGTATGAATGGACTAGTTGAGGGAAGTCTAAAGCCAATACTTATCTGTGACCTCATTTCCTCTTTCAGCAGTATTTGAAATACTATTTCCAAATGTGTAGGAGAAATGGGGATTTTAGTGTCTTCAGGTTTGTGGTTTTTCAGAGTTGGAAGGGGCCATTGAGCTGATGCTTGAAGGCTCTGTGGATATTTCTGCTTGAACATGGGTTGTGCTGGGAATCCTGCTTCTCATTCTCACGGAGTGTCTGTCTTTGGTAGGCAGCCGTTAGCCAGCTCTACCTTATGTTGCTCTGATCCAAAGTCTCTGTCTCCCAGCATCCGCCTGCCAGCCCTGCTTTTTGGATCCCTCACTGTGGGATCACTCCTGAGTCCTCTTCCTATTGTCAGCATAATTTCCTGAATAGGAGGGAAGTTTCTAAAGAAAATCAATTGGCCTCTTTTTGTGTGTACTTGAAAAGTAAAACAATATAAATACCAAAAATAATATGGGGAAACAAATCAGAATTTACTCCCAGTAATTTAATTAGCTGCTAATGCTTTTTTAATTATTTTGGTCTGAATTTCATTATCCTCCTCTTCCCTGTCATCTAGTGTGGCTCCCCAAAGTGCCCATGCTGCATTTAACAAGGCAGCCAGCTATTTTGGGATGAAGCTTGTGCGGGTCCCACTGACGAAGATGATGGAGGTGGATGTTCGGGTGAGTCCCTTTGGAGGGCCCACGGTCTATGCTGGACTCTGACAGCAGAAAGGGCTCTTGCTGACTAAGCATTTCTAGTCACACTCAGACGGGCTCTGACTGCCTTTGATTGTAGCAGCCAGAATATCAAACTGCACTGATAGTGGTGACTGACTGCAGCTTCAGTCTTTTCATAGGTTCATGAATTCTGAAAGAGGGGTGATCTAGTCACTAACTTGAGACTTTAAAGACACCACAGGTTTTGACAGCACCACCACTTTTCCTTTCTTTTCTTTATTTTTAAAATGAGCATGGGCTCCCTTCCCCTAAGACTCTTACTGTGGCCCAGGCACAGTGGCTCACATCTGTAATCCCAGCACTTTGGGAAACTGAGGAGGGAGGATTAGTGAAACCCTTGAGCCCAAGAGTTTGAGACTAGTCTGAGTAATATAATGAGACCCCATCTCTACAAAAAATTAAAAAAAATTAGCTGGTTGTGGTGGCATGCACCTGTAGTCCTAGCTACTCGGCAGGCTAGGGTGGGAGGATCACTTGACCCCCAGGAGATTGAGGCTGCAGTGAGCTCTATTTACAACCACTGCACTCCAGCTAGGGTGACAGAGCGAGACCCTGTCTCAAAGCAAAACAAAAAGTCTCACTGTGGTTTTGGTTGGCTTGAATTAATACCATTGTCATTATAAAAGTGATTATTTTGTGTAGAGGAATGTTCTAGTTTGAGAGTTCCGTCAGAATCCCATTTGAGCTTTATGACATTCCAGAGAGGTTGATCAAGCTGTTATTGCAGTTCACAGATAAGGAACAGACTGAAGTGGTATACTTAGGGTTTCACTACTGGTGGTAGGCTGTGGGGCTTGGACTCACATTTGGCTCTTTCCTCTTAGCTCAATATTGTTTTTGCCCCCACAGTAATTGTATTCTTATTTTGTGCTCTCAGACTATTCCCTGAATGGGCCTAACTGGACTCGCCTGTGTCCTGTCACTGTAGTGGGATGTAGTCTTCTTCCAGTTGGAGTGGTAGAGGGGTTAATAGTGGAACTGGAACTCTCAGCTAGCAGCCCAGATTGCTCTTGGCAGCAGAAGAGAAGAGTAATGGTGACATAGATTCCCATTTTCTGTTAAACTTTAAATCCCTAGGCAATGAGAAGAGCCATCTCCAGGAACACTGCCATGCTCGTCTGTTCTACCCCACAGTTTCCTCATGGTATAATGGATCCTGTCCCTGAAGTGGCCAAGGTATATGGGAGAAATGGGCTGCTCTGGCTGGCAATGGATATTTTAAAACAAAGCCTAATGGAGCAGTACTTGGCAAATAGAAGCAATTTTTATTTTAGTTTTGACCACAGTTGTGATGAGTAGCTCTCGTCAGCCCTAGGGGAAGCCCTGAAGCTCTGTTTGAAGCCTCTGAAAGTTGCTAGTCTCTGCCGTGGGGTAGGATAGTTCTTAATCTGGATATTCTGAAATTGTCTTGAGTTCTGGAAATAATCTGCATGTAGGTATGTGCCCACCAGAGGGTGGCATTCCACATGCTGCTCCTCAGCACCTCCCTCTCCCTCTCTCCTCATCCTGTAGTGACTGAAGCAGGACCTTTCCTGTGCGCAAGAGGCAGCCTAGATCAGAGCTCTACTCATTTCCTTTCTGATTTTGCAGGGAGTTTGAGGTCATGCTTATTTAAATATAAAATAGATACCATATTTCAGTTGGATTATTTTGAAGGGAAAATACATTTGAAAGATAAATTTTGTCAGGAATGTTAAAAATAGCAATTTTTTAAAAAGCATACAAGGCATAATACAAAATAGCCTTGTTTTATAGCCCATCTTTCCACCCCTGTCTTGCAGTTTTATTATAAGGTTATAAAGGAAATTCTCTTATGTTCTTTGTTTTTTTGGAACAAGCTGGCTGTCAAATACAAAATACCCCTCCACGTCGACGCTTGTCTGGGAGGCTTCCTTATCGTCTTTATGGAGAAAGCAGGATACCCACTGGAGTACCCATTTGATTTCCGGGTGAAAGGTGTGACCAGCATTTCAGCTGATACCCATAAGGTGAGCTAGGAGGAGATTAAGTGTTACCAGTTGATTATTTTGACTATTATTGATAAAATAAATTGGTAGCTTCCCTGAAGTATAAAACTATCTGTAGAATTCTCATCAGACGCTTGTTATACACTCTCTCCTTGCCATCACCAGATTAGCTGGTTCAGGTGATGGGGTATAGTGGTAGAATTGACAAGCAGTGAAAAGGAACCTATTACCCTTATCTCAAACTGGCTAAGAGAATTTCTGTATCCATTGACTGTGTAACTAGAGCATGCTAGTATAGTGGCCCTTCCCTGAAGCCTTGAGGTGATTTGAGGTGGAAGTTAGAGTGGTGTGAGGGTTGATAGTGGACTTTACATGCTGGTAGATGACATTACAGTGCCTGTGCAGCTGGGCTCCTGAGCCTAAGTGACAGAAGAATGTTGATGGAAGAGTCCTTTGGGAAATGGGGAAGAACCTGTGTGCTCAGGAACATTCAGCATTTGAGATGGCCATGCCTGCCACCCTTGGTGGACAGAGACACAGTCTAGATCAGTTGGTAACACTTCTGAGTATAAATCCAGATGTGGAAGAAGTATTAGTAGTCTCGGGAATGTGTACCTTGCTTTGATTGCATTTTCAAAGCTTGTTTTAAACTCAAGCGTATTAAAGACTTGTTTTTTAAAATCCATGTGATCTGCAGCAGATTTTCAGTCAGCATCTGTTTCTTCCTTACCACCCAGATGGCTCCTGTGTCCTTTTCCCATAACCATCCATTTCTGGATGGTTCAGGTAATGAAATTAGTTCCATGTTAGTTTTAGTAAGAGGGGCAGATGTTCTATAAAGAAACCAGTTACATGGTTCATTTTAAAGCTGTATTAAGTAGCTTTTAGATTCTGAGCACTATTATATTCTTATAAGCATAGTAGTCTTAGTAATACTAAGCAAAAAAGATGGGAAGGGGGTCAGTTGGTGATTTTAACTCAAAGTGACAAATTCCATCCTTTCCTGGCTTCCATTGGAAACTTATCCTTGTTTCCATCCTGACATATGGCTTCCCCAGAGAAATATTTTAAAGAAAAACTACATGCTGGGCAAGAGAAATACATTAACTGGGCACTGTTCTTCCCTGGGTCTCAGATTCCTCATTCCTAACATAGAGAATTTAAACTCCATCCCTTAAATTCCTTCTACCCTTTAACATTTTAAGTTTGAATCCTTAATGTGAATGGGAAACATTACAGAGAAACTGACAAGTAAATAGGATTTCCTTTGCATGCTGAGAGCTCTGGGACAAGGTCTGCCAGACAGAACTATACTCTTACTTGTCTCGTCTGCTGCTTCTTCCACAGTATGGCTACGCCCCGAAAGGCTCATCAGTGGTGTTGTATCGTGACAAGAAGTACAGGAACTATCAGTTCTTCGTTGATACAGATTGGCAGGGTGGCATCTATGCTTCCCCAACCATCGCAGGCTCTCGGCCCGGTGGCATTAGCGCAGCCTGTTGGGCTGCCTTGATGCACTTCGGTGAGAACGGCTATGTTGAAGCTACCAAACAGATCATCAAAACTGCTCGCTTCCTCAAGTCAGAGTATGTGTGGAAGACTGGGATTCTGCCTTGTCTGTTGCTTTTTTTCCTACTAGGCTCGAGGCACCTGTCTGGCTAAGTATCTACAACCCTAGCCCACCTGTTGTGTCTTGCAGGACAAAGGGTTTAGGAAAGCAGCTTATGAGTGTGGTGCTAGCCTGGGAGGAGAAGCTCCCTTTGGAGGGTCTTTAGAGACAGGGGCCTCATTTGTAGGTTGTCTCATCTCTGTGGATGTCTTAACAACTGGCAGCTCTTACCCTAAGGCTAATGTACAATTTAATGGTTAGGACAGTGATTCCCAAACTTGAGCATGCATCCTAATCACCTGAAGAAATTGTTAAAACACAGATTGCTGGGTCTATCCCTAGAGTTTCTGACTCAGTAGAACTGGGATAAGATCTAAGGATTTCCATTTCTGGAGATACTGATGCTACTGCTCCAGGAATCATACTTGAAGAATCATTGGAATAATAAATATCTGGAAATGGGCCAGAAAGAATGAGGAAAGGAGGGCAATGAAATCTTGGGTTAAGCCAAGGCCAGAACAGGCTACATGCTTTGTCTAATGTATCTGTTAACATCTTACCTGCCTGTCTCTCTGTGTGTCACTTGGATCGGGAGGCTCTTTTAGTATCTTGGGGGTAAGGAAAGCTGCCAGCAGGCATTTCTCATTTGAAAAAGATCCTCGACCAGGCATGGTGGCTTACGCCTGTAATCCTAGTGCTTCAGGAGGCCAAGGCAGGAGGATCACTTAAGCCCAGGAGTTAAAGACCAACCCAGGCAACATAGTGAGACACTGTCCCTACAGCAAATTTAAAAATTAGCCACATGTGGTGGTGTGTACCTTTGGTCCCAGCTACTCAGGAGGCTTAAGGCAAGAGGACTGCTTGAAGCCCAGGAATTTGAGGTTACAGTGAGCTATGTTCACACCACTGCACTCCAGCCTGGGTGACAGAGCAAGACCCTGTCTCAAATAAATAAGCAGACAAATACATAAAAATTATATATGTATATGTATATAAGTCCTCATATAGCTCTGCTTTTGTTAAGACTTGCTATGCCATTTGTTGCTCTAGGGATTACATACCACTTTTTAGAACTATGGAGACAGACAGATTATTTTTCCAGATAATTTTTTTAGTACATCTTTTATGCCTCAGAGGCATGTAGGGGAATATAATCGGGAGTTGGGTATAAGGTTTGAAGTCAGTGATTCAGAGTCATTAGATCTAGATGGGGTTTGGGCCTTGTAGTATTTTTATTGTTCCAGCTATGATTCTGATCTCAGTAAGAATCCCAGTCTAGCCTTCTTCTTTTTGAAGATGAGAAGACTGAAGCCCAGAGAGTTAGATTGCATTCATTATAAGGAAGACTTCGAATGATTAAACAGATAGTGACCTGACTGAGTTTCCTTTTTCTTCCTTTTTTTATTCATTTTTTTGTTTTGTTTTAAGACTGGAAAATATCAAAGGCATCTTTGTTTTTGGGAATCCCCAGTTGTCAATCATTGCTCTGGGATCCCGTGATTTTGACATCTACCGATTATCAAACCTGATGACTGCTAAGGGGTGGAACCTGAACCAGCTGCAGTTCCCACCCAGGTAAGCTTGAAGAAGCCTCTTGCCCTTATTTTGCTCCATGACTTTGGAAGAACTTGGGTGGTAAGGTAACCTGAGTATAGAGTTTGACTGTTAGAGGCCAGCACTTCAGTAGCAACTGTAGTATCCAAAGAATGTCTGTCTTGCCACCTGGAATTATAAAGAACAAGACCATTTGCTTTAAACTCTGGCAGAATTAGGTGACAGCCTTCCTAGACCAGTGTTTGGTCATGAGGTTTTTCTCCCACTCTCTAGCCTCTATACTCTCCAATCCATCTTGTACACAGCATCAAATTGCTCGTATAAAATACTCATTGTCTGGCCAATACTTAGTTCAGAACCTTCCGGGAGGTTTGTAATCATTCAGGCCTGCTACTGCCACCTTTGGTTGACTTTTCTAAAACCTAATCTTCCATGATTCCTTTGAGTAAATACACCACTCCAGCTGAGTAGGTCTGTTTATATCCTCTGGGTATAGCTTAGCCTTCTACACATTGGTGCATTGCCAGTCCCATCTGGACTATCTTTTTCCCTTTCCACAATTCCACTGACCCCATTAAATTCCTTCAGGGCGAGGTAGAATTTCTTCTGTGCCCTGAAGTCCTTTAAGACCCCCGCCATGTGGCCCTGTTCTCATAAGAGCACATGGGGGCTGATTATCTAAGATAAAATTGTCCCATCGATGGTGACGTGGTTGAAGGAATGGTGGTGGTATTTGTGAGGGGATGGATGGGACAAAGCAGCCAACCCTGTTCTTCCTCTTAGCATGGTTGTCGGTCATGCTGAGAAGCTCTGAGGCCAGCCCACTTCTGACAGCCCAAGCATGGGAGAGCTAGGATTCCCAGGACGGAGATCAACTTGGATGACTACACTTGCCAGAAATAATGTGAAAGGGCCACCAGGAGATTCCCGTATTTGGGGCTGCATTATTTTAGGACATTTTTTTCTTTCTTCAAGGTTCATCTCTGTCTCTTCTTTCCTAGTATTCATTTCTGCATCACATTAGTACACGCCCGGAAACGAGTAGCTATACAATTCCTGAAGGACATCCGAGAATCTGTCACTCAAATCATGAAGAATCCTAAAGCGAAGACCACAGGAATGGTAGGGACACTTGGTGGTTTTTTTCTTCCCTTGGAAATTTAGGTGTTGGTGGAGAGTTAGAATCAAATGACCTGGAGTCTGTTCCTGCCCCTGCCCCTTTGCCACAGACGTTTTTCATTTGTTTCTGGAGCTGATCTCTGTGTCACCCACCCTTAGGGTTGCTGAAGTTTCAAATGAGATACACTATAAAGCGTATCTCATTTTTGCTGTACAAAAGCACCTGGTGGTAGCATCCATTTGCAAAGAAAATTTTGACACAGGAAAGGTAGTAAAAATGTTTTCTCTGGGAATTTCTACAGTAAATCCCTTAGGCTAGTTCCTTTATGCAGAAAGGCCGACTGGAAAGTCCCTGTGGAAGTTTACTGTGCCAACTATTTTTCTGATAGAATGATGGGATGCCTGAGGTGGAGAGGGTGGGGTAGTGTACATACGAAGTGGGACTCGGGGCGAAGGGGCTCATTGCTGCAGTTTTATTCTTGCTCCTGGACCCAGCCTCGCTTATAATGTCTCTTTGTTTGAATTTGTAGGGTGCCATCTACGGCATGGCTCAGACAACTGTGGACAGGAATATGGTTGCAGAATTGTCCTCGGTCTTCTTGGACAGCCTGTACAGCACAGACACTGTCACCCAGGGCAGCCAGATGAATGGTTCTCCAAAACCCCACTGAGCTTGGACCCTTTCTAGTCCCAAGGGGCTTCAGCCGTCAGAAGGTTCTTGGGGTGTGGAACAGGCCATGTGCAACTTCAACATCTGGTCTGGCTCCATAGAGCACAACTCAAGACAGACTATGAGAAGCTTGAGCCTCAGGATTCTTGTTCCTCCTCTTGTCATCCTTGTGTGGTTTTTAATTTGAAGACCCCAGAGGATTCCATTATATAATGATTTTGCCCTTGTTATAAATGTTACCCTAGGAATTATTGTAACCATTTCCTGTTCTAAACTCTCTAGCTTTCAACTTCACTTAAGCATTGTGGGGCAGCTCTGACCTGTCCTGATTCTGTAGAGAGAAGCTGGGGTGCGGTTTATGAGATAGCTAGAGTTTCTTTCTTAGACTGGAGGCGTTTACGTAACAGATGTTTCCCCAGCTGGGTGTGAGGTATACTCTAAGCAGGCGGCTTTTCCAGCCTCCACCCACTTTTGAGACGTTTTGTTCTTTTGCCCAGGCTGGAGTGCAGTGGCATGATCGCGGTTCACTGCAATCTCCACCCCCCAGGTTCAAGCAATTCTTCTGCCTCAGCCTCTGGAGTAGCTGGGATTACAAGCATCTGCCACCACACCCAGCTAATTTTTTGTATTATTAGTAGAGACGGGGATTTTGCCAGCTGGTCTCAAACTCCTGATCTCAGGTGATCCACCTGCCTCGGTCTCCCAAAGTGCTGGGATTACAGGTGTGAGCCATCATGCCCCACCCTCTCTCTCTTAAGAGTAGGTTTGTTGTCTATCTTAGAATCACTTCTATTGCAACTCATTTTGTTTTTCAGGGACACAGATCGACCAGGCTGCTGTTCCCTAATATGCAGGACAGGACTATTCTAGCTTACCTGCTCAGTCCACCCAGGCAGAGTTTAAGGTGGTCTCTTCTGTGTCTGCAGTCCCCATTTGACACTTGGTTGCCACCATTTTTGGAGATAATTGTTTAAAATGATGCTCCCATTGGCTTGTTCTTGTTCCCATGGACTAGGAAGAGAACGTGGTTTCCAAATATTCTAGGAGCTTTTGGCCATGGTGCTGCCTCCTGGAATTGCTAGTAGTCAAAGCACAGCTGAGCTCTATCCTGAGCTGATGGTGAGCAGATAGTCAGATTTCCTGACTGACTGACTAGGATGAGCACCCAGATTCAAATTTGTCACCAGAGTTGGTATTAGTCCTTCCCTGCACCCTTGCGTGAAGCCATCATGTAATGAAAATATGTTTGCTTGAAGGAACAGCTCAAAGCACCTTCACAAGTTGCCTTGACTTACCCTAGGTGGGTGTGAAAGAGCACCTATTGCAAGGAAAATTTTCTCTATTAGTGTGTTCTTCTGCCTCTTCCCCCTTGATTCAGCTTTCTAAGGTACTATGGCAGTTTCGCCTCAGGTGCTGGACATTTTTCAGCTGTGGCAGCACAGGGAGAGAAACAGGAAAGCAGAATGGCGAGCAGCCTTATGGCCCAGGGCCTATAATCCCAAGACTAGCTGCTCAGGGTGGTGCAGAGACAGGACCAGACCCTGTGCCCACTTCCTGCCCTCTTTCCCCTGTAGAGAACTCTCCCCTAGGCTGAGCCACTGTCCTGCTCTAATGACATCATACCATGTGCCTTTCTTCTCAACAGTGAGCAGTGAGCTACTCCTGGCCCAGGCCTTAGGGGAAATTTGGATCAGTCTTTGAGGTTTCTATTTGGGTAGGGGAGTACTTAGGACAGGTCAGGAGACACTTTCCTCTGTTCCATTCCCCATCTCAGGGACTCCTGAATATTCAGCCTCTCCAGGCTGGTATCTTCTAGTTTCCCCGGCTGGGAATGCTGGCTGGGAGAGCCAGGACTAGCAGACTTTTCCTCAAGCTCCTAGCACATTAGTCTAAAGTGTTCTTCAGCACTGTACTACTTACCTAACAACTGTGACTAGGTGGCCACGCCATTTAGGGCTGGTGTGGCATTTATGTGTGTGTGTTTTTCCTGTTTGCTCCACAGTGCATTGGGGGTTCCCAGAGTGGGTAATGTCTGTGCGTGCGTGTGTGTGTGTGTCAGAGGGAGACCTGGCAGGTACCTCTTTGAGAGTAGTTGTAGTCAAAGCTGTGTGGTCAGTGCATTATGTTGGAGGAGGTCCAGGAAGCCACAACCACCCAGCAGACAGACACCACTGTGGCTTGCTAGCTACCAAGATGGAGAAGCATGTCCCCTATGGAGTGTCTCCCCAGAACCAGACCCCTGAGCCACTCGCTTCCTCTGTGCTGTGACAACTTTGGTGCCAGGGGAGTTGGTGTTTTTCAAAGGGACCTACTGTAGCCACTTTAATTTACAATTAAGAGCCTTAGTTTGACTTTAACACTTGTGTAGGCTTTTCATTTTGTATTTCTGTGTATGTGTGCATATAGCAACTAGTTTGTGGCAGAGGTGGGAGAGAGTCTTAATAGTATCATGTCGAATGCAGATGTCACATTGGCCTCTGCAAAAACTGTACTGTCTTGTTTCTGCATTAGACTTAAGTAGTCATGTGAATACTGCTGTGTCACTTTTAATATTACGAGTTTTATACTTGGAAAATGGTACTTGCTTCTTTTAAATCTCTGTCTTCTCTAACCTCCCCCTTCTCATCTTAATCCTCCCTTCCTAATTGCAGCAATAATCTCAAAAAGCAATTAAATAGCTAAATGACCCTAACTGTAATTACTGTGAATGGTTGCATTCATTTGATTACTCAGGCACAGACAAGATCACAAATGGGGCGGTAGCCATGCTTGAAGGGGCTCCTGGTGAGAGAGTGCCTCCTGGTGGTGAAGCAATTCATCTGATTTCCCGACACAGTTAAGCAGCAATCTGTCTCATTTCCAGGCATGTTCATAGGTCGCTGATTGGTCCCTAGTAGTAGTGGTCATATCTATTTCAGAGAGGTCTGAAATTCAGGTTCTTAGTTTGCCAGGGACAGACCCTGTCTTATGTTTTCTTCCATCTTCATCATCCACGTCTGCCTACACTTTGCTGCTTACAACAACAAGGGATTGAGCCATCTTGGTGATCTCTAGCCAGCTGGGCAGTGTGGTTCTTTCTAACCAAAGGGCATTGGCCTCAAGCCCTACATTTGGTATAGGGGCTGACAGAGCTCCTCAGATAATCTTCTCACACATGTAACTGCTGGACATCTTATTCTATTATGAATAAGAAATGAGAAGTTTTCCCAAAGGGTTAGTTAGGATCTGAAGACTGTCATTCAGATAATTCACCTTTTCCTTTTGGCTTTTGGCCCATTCAGACTTTGCCAGAATCAAGCCAAGGACTGCTTTTTGTTGCTACAGTTTTCTGCCAGATAGCCTAGTTCCTGAGTACCTGGAAACCAGAGAGAAAGAGGATCCAGTATATGCGTGGATTAGAAGGCCTGGCTCATCTAGGAAGTCACGTCTGGGGTGCTTATTGCTGCTCCATACAGCTGCAGGCCCGCCCCTTGGCCTACTCTGTAGGTTCTTGGCTGCCATGAGTAGCTTTCAGCCAGTGACAAGTAGTTACTGAGTCCTAATTTGATAGCCACAAACTATACCCTGGGTAGGCAAAGTCAGATTTTTGAGAACCTTTTCTTGACTTGAAGTTTTAATTACCTTCTTTTATGCTTTCCTCTGTCTCGTAATTTCTTCTCTCAATATCCTTCCCTATAATTTCAATTATTTGGATTAATTTTAGAATAAATTTATTTATTTCTAAAAAAAAAAGAAGTATTGTCTATGTCTTTGTGTCACGTAAATGTTCTTCATACAGCTGTGGTACTGCCAAGGTTGGCTTTATCTGTTGGAGACAAGGTTTCACTGTTACCCAGGCTAGAGGGCAATGGCATGATCATGGCTCACTGCAGCCTTGACCTCCTAGGCTCAAGTGATCCTCCCACTTCAGCCTCCTGAGTAGCTGGGACCACAGGTGTGTGCCACTGTGCCAGGCTAATTTTTCTGTATATTTTGTAGAGAGTTTCTCTATGTTGCCCAGCCTAGTCTCTTAACTCCTAGGCTCAAATGATCCTCCCACCTTGGCCTCCCAAAGTGTTGGAAATACAGGTACGAACTGACCCCATACCAGGCGAACATTTTTCAACCCTTGACCCATGATAATAAGCAGAGGCAGGAATGCAACAACAGCATCATCCATACCGCCGTGTCTGGTGTTTTCTGTCCTCCAGTCCTCAAGTCATCAGATCAAAGCACACTTGGAAAAACTTAAGTCAGAAGTGGAGCAGATGGGAGACCACTGTCTGAATCTTGTTTGCCATCAACATAGGTGTCGATAATTTCTTACTAGCATATATTATAGGAAGGGGGTCCTGCTAATTCCTCTTATGAACAATGTGCTTATTTCCCAACCTCCATCCTCTGGCCTTTGCTAGGGGACCAACTCATCTAGGCTGACTGAGTGGTGACATTGCTAGATTCCTGCTCCAAGTGACCCTTGCATTTGCAAGTCTGCTTAGTTAGCGGACTTGGGTTAGGAGACGTGGGTGAGAACTATTAGGAAGAAGGCTTCCCAGTCTGCATCATGGCATATGTGAGGTGAAATCTGTGTGGCATGCACATGGGGATAGAGATGAGGTTGCTCTCAGTGCCCCCTTCATGATAGTGTGGGACATTCTGTCCTAGAGAGTTCCAGGCTGGGGAAACTGTGCGAACCACCTCTCTTAACTGCTCCAGTGGTAAATAGCCTGCCAGCTCCTAAGCTGCCTGTGTCTTCTGTCCTGTGGAGTAAAACCAGGCAAACCCTAAGAACTTTGCTAAGATTTTAAGAAACTGAGGAGGCCATCAGGATTTGAAATCTTCCGTATCTGATATGATAGGCATGTGTATTAGGATTCTCCAGAGAAACAGAATGAATATACACAGAGAGATTTCTTAGAAGGAATTGGCTCCTGTGATTCTGGAGGCTGACAAGTCCCAAGATCTGCGGTTGGCAAGCTAGAGACCCAAGAAGGCGAGATGGTATTGTTCCAGTCTGGAGGCTTACAGCCTTGAGACCCAAGGGGAGTGGATGTTTCAGTTTAAGTCCCAAAGCAGGAAAAGACCAATGTGCCACCTCAGGGCAGTCAGGCAGGAGGACTTCCCTCTTATTTGGGGGAGCGTCTGCCCTTTTTAGCCCTTTTGTCCTATACAGGCCTTCAGCTTGTTGAATGAGGCCACCCACGTTAGGGAAGGCAGTTGGCTTTTCTCAGTCTACTGATTCAAATATTAACCTCATTCAGAAACTCCCTCGCAGACACACCCAGAATAACCAAATGCTTGGGAACCCCATGGCCCAATCAAGTTGACACATAAAATTAGCCATCACAGCCAGGAAGAAGATACAGGTTGAGTATTCCTTATCTGAAAGGTATGGGATCACCAGATGTGTTTCAAATGCAGGATTTTGGAATATTTGCATTGTCCTGACGAGCTAAGCATCTGTAAATCGGAAATGTAAAAGGATCCAATGAGCATTTCCTTTGAGCATCATGTTGGCACTCAAAAAGTTTCAGATTTTGGATTTCCAATTTTCAAAATAGGAATGGTCAACCCGTAATACAGCCCTAGACTGCCTTTCTAGACATAGGTTCCACAATGAATATAATACCTGTGACCTTCACACCCTTATCTGTGTTCATGGTGTTCTTTGGCTAGCTCTGCCTCTCAAGAATCCTACCCAGGTCTTCAGGGCATAGCTCAAAGCCTCCAGATTTGCCCTTGTCACCATTAATCACTTGTGTTTCCCTTAGCTCATTTCTTATCCTGCTGTCTAGCATTAATTCACCCTAGTAACAGTTAATTAGTACTAGTTAATTGTTAATAGTTAATTGTGTTCCTGTTTGATGATAATCACATGATATCCCCTAGATGATAATGAATCTGAAGGCAAGGTGGTCTGGTCCCTCTCTTTTCCCGGTACCTTGAACAGTGCCTAGCACAGAGGAAGTGCTTTCCTTTAAATGCCTATTGACTCCAATTTCGATTGACCCGTGGAAAAGAAGTTTCTAGAGCCCAAGACCAAGTGATATCATAGTTTTATTTGAGACATAAAAGCACGTGTGTTTCTGTTACATAGTGTAGGCTTAGGGTACTGGTTTCTAAGACAAGACTTTATTTCACCCTCTGTCACACTTCCTGGGAAATGAATTAGGGAGCAAGATACAGCCTGGCAAGAAAATTATTATTGTTGCTCAGAAGTTGCAAAGAAAGGGGAGAGCTTATTCAAATTAGTGTAACAGAGCCCCCAGGATAAAGAGAGTGGTACAGGGAAAAGGTCTAAATTCCTGATGTTGGTAGGGATGTTAGCACATTCCACAGCAAGGACTCACCCCCCAGTGGAGGCAACTGGGTCTTGGGAGGGAAGCTGGGGGACACCAAGGGCTCCTCAGCTCCCTTCCTGGATTCCCAGTTCAATCACCCCTTCCCCCTGAGGAATTCAAAGAGGAAGGGCAGGGTCTATGTCATGGACACAGCTACTTGTTCAATGAAGCTGGCCAGGTTTATGTCCCGTTCTGAAAGGCCGGCACACTCGTGGGTGCTCAGTGTGATGTGGACCTGAAACGAAACCAGAAATTCTGCTTCCACGGACTTAAGAACAGGAGGGAGTCAATAGCAGCTGGGCTCAACCCCACTAGGAGTTCCAGAATAGCAGCTGGCCACTACGATGTCTCCTGGGGACTCCTTCCTGACCTGTCACACATCTTCTACATCTCCCCTTATGCTGTCTTTCAAAAATAATTGTGACTTCAGCTATCGAGTAAAAACATCCAAATGTCAAGAGTAAACTAAAAGCTAAAGACAAAACCAAAAACTAATGCCAACTCCTAAACACTATCCATTCACAGATGGCCTCTTTCACCCTTACTGCTTTTATAAACAGAAACCAGCAGAGCTTTTGGCACGTGGTAGACATTTCATGACTGTTTTCCTCATTAAGCAATTTGGTAGACTGGCTATGTGTGTGCATTCGTAGTTCAAGTTTATTAAGTTTCCATTCTTCCATACCTCCAGCAAGATTAAAGCCGTTTAGAGCTATGAGCCCTGAATAAGTATGCCTGGCTCCCACAGCCTTTCCTTTCTTGGGTTTTGTCTTCTTTTTTTTTATTTTTTTTTTGAGGTGGAGTTTCGCTCTTGTTACCCAGACTGGAGTGCAATGGCGGGATCTCAGCTCACCGCAACCTCCACCTCCTGGGTTCAAGCAATTCTCCTGCCTCAGCCTCCCAAGTAGCTGGGACTACAGGTGTGCGCCACCATGCCCAGCTAATTTTTGTATTTTTAGTAGAGGCGGGGTTTCACCATGTTGACCAGGAGGGTCTCGATCTCTTGACCTGGTGATCCACCCGCCTTGGCCTCCCAAAGTGCTGGGATTATAGGTGTGAGCAACCGCGCCTGGCTAGTTTTACCTTCTTAATGTCTACTTTAACCCCAAGTATCTCATGCACCTTTTAATTTGCATTTCTTTGTGGTAAGACTGATGCTTTTTTCCCCAGGTGTATTTATGTTGATTTTAGGCATGTGCAATCTCAGTGAGATAGGGAACGAGATGAGTGGATGACCTGTGGGTCAGGAAGGCACATTGTTAAGTCCAAAAGCCTTCAGAATGTGTCAGAGTTTGCAGGCTTTGTATGGGGGCAGAGCACAACAGAGGCACACAGCATCACTCACCTTGTTGTACACGTTAAACCATTCAGGATGGTGGTCCAGTTTCTCAGCCTGCAGGGCCACTCTTGTCATGAACCCAAAAGCCTATTTAAGTGAAGTGAGAGCTAGGTTAGTTTCTAAGAGAAAGGACTTCTGGACATCACCAAGTCAAGGCCTAGACGCAGGAGGATGAATTAGCTTCCTCCCAGGAGACTCCCTGCTCTTTAATCATTTCCCCCTTGACATCCTGTCACTGGTTCTCAGGCTTGAGTTCAAGGTTTTCCCTGCAGTAAGAAGAAAGTCTTAGGACACCAACAAGGTGGAAACACCACAGCAGGCTTTTGGTCTGGCCAGTCTTGGCTGTCTGTTCAAACGTCTTCAGATGCACATGGTTCCTACTTGAACTATCTCCTCAGAGGACTGTGGCTAAAAGTTCCAGGAAGGGAGAGCCCAAGACACATCACATCCTCCTACTCTCCAGTTCCCAAAGATGACATTTCCCGAGTTAGGCAGGAAAATTAATTTCCCCAGTGGCACAGTGCCCAAATAACAGATGAGTGTGGTGTCTGAGAGTCTTGGCTAACAGGACATGCAGGGAGAGAACATGCTCTGTAAGGTGACCCCATCAGCCCCAGCCTCAGAAACTCTGTCCCGCCCTGGTGCCATACCCTGTTGAAGTCTTTGAAATGAAACTGCTTGAAGATGGCATCGCGGCCTTCCAGCTCATTCCACCCCACGGCCCTCAGGTTTGGCAGCAGCTGGTCCCTCTCCTCGGCGCTCAGCCTGTGTGCTTTGCCAGCCTAGAAGAGGGGGAAAAAAACCAGAGGCCCAAGGGCATTTCTTTTTATAGGTCAAAACAGAGGGGCTCCAACCTTTGGGGGAACTTAGCCAGCCTCCACTGGCTGCTTTGGACGTGGGTGACCAAAGGGCAGCAGGTTTTTGAGCAATAGGCTGGGAGGCCTCAACGGTGGCACCCTGCCCAGGAGGTGAGGTCCGAGCTTGTCCGCTGATAGGCTCTCAGGTCTTGGGTTTTACACGCAACATAGAGAAAGGAAATCCCAAAGGCAATGTAATGCATATGACCTGGACAGAGAGGCACTCTTCCCCAACCCTGCCCTCAGAGCCTTACAGACCTCCCCCTCCGTGAGATCTATTGCATCCATGAGGGCGTAAAAGCAAAATAAATCCCAGATGCAAATATGTTACTCCACAACCTCTCAGGAAAAGAGTACCCACGACTGTCGCCTGCTCTTTTTCCTATTACGTACTTCATCATATGCGCCCCACGTCCCTACCATAACTTTAATGTGTATTGAAGAGGAAACAGGCCTAGAGAGGGGAAATAACTTGTCTACTGTTATTTCCCGTCCACCCCACCTAGTGATAGCGAAGGCAGCATTTTCAAAGTGTGGTCTGTGTGTCAGCATCCCTGGGGCTGGGCAAAGGAGCCAGCATTTAAAATAAGTGTCCAGCCCATTCTCAGCTACACTGCAGCTGACCGCCACCGACACTACCTCTAGCAGGTCCTCAGTCATGCTCCCATGCAGCCTCCGGTCCTGAGTTGCCTAGGCTCGGTTTCTCAGGGTGTCCGTCTTCTTTTCTAGCTGGTTGGTAAGCTCAGGCCACAGAGCTCAGTCCCCAGAGTGGAAGGAACTTGGCCAAAGGCAGCTGGCAAACCCAGTGTCCCATCCTATTTACCTGCTGTGTAAAGTACCCTCAAGGCAGTCCAAATTGGCACAATTCAGGCCATGAGTGGAACCTCAGAGAATGCAAGGAAGCAAGGGTCAGTTTCATCCTAGGAGGATCCCAGAACCTAGGCTTCTAGAGTAGCTCCACCCAGGGCAGAAATAAAGAGAGTGCTGAATTCAAAAGGAATAATTTAGGGATGGGGAGGGAACCTGAGGGAGATTAATTCAGCTTTTATGAGGCAGCCTGCAGACTGAACACTGCAGGAGGTTTCACCATTTACCAGCCAGGTGTCTGTCCCTCTCTTGGCAGAACCTCCACCTCCACAGATCCATCATGAGGTGCCAGTGGGACACTTTAGGAAACACCACTGTTATTAAGCAAATGTCATCTGCATTAAAAAAAATACTTCCTAAGGCAAGTAGGCTTGTGATGGGCCTGGTAGCATTTGGGGTAGTTGAAGCATTGCAGTGCTTTTCCAAATCCGTCTTTTTTCCCTCCTGAAAACGTGAGCTCTCTCTGGACTGATGGGGCTTGGCCTCTCTCCTCCCCTCTGCTCTGGATGGCTACAGGGGTGGAATGGCAGCAGCAATTTGCCTCATCTACCCAATAGGAAGGTCTCTACTCCAGAGCCAGCCCTCTCCCAGTGGCCGACCCTCTGGTCCGTGTATCCAGGCAACCAGAAGTCAGCCTAGGAGGCATCAGAGCCCACTGTTTACTTCCTTGGCTCTTAAAGGGGTGGGTGGATCCAGGTGGGTTCTTAGGAGGCTTCCCTTTCTTGGTAGTCTTCGGGAACCCCCAAGTTGCACAGCCGGAGGCTGAACTGACAAACCTTCCAGCTGCCGGCTCTGGAGACAGAGATGGGGAAGGGGATCCTGTTTGCTTAGTAAATCCTCCTTGCGTCCTCTGGTGAGGTGTGCGGAATGGTTACTGGTTTCCCAAGCCTGCATCTCTGGGGCCTCAGCGCCCCTCACAAGCAGCCCCACTTATCCTCTCTCTCGCAAGCCCCTCTCCTATCAAAAGGCCCTCCCAGTCCCGACTGCTCCGAAGGCCTCTGGACCTGAAATGGTCTGGTGAGGCTACAGAGACTACTGCAGAGCAAGGGCCCGCCCCCGCCCCGGGAGTGGGGGAGAAGCTCACCCGGGAGGAGGGCTGACCCTGCGCCTCCAATCCCCCGGGCATGGGCCTCAAACCGGCTTGGGGGCTGGCTCTGGGGCCCGGAACAGCACAGGGGCACAGAGCCTGAGTCCCAGGCAGACTCTGTACCCGGGGTGCTAGACGGAAGGGGCGGCGGACAGGCAAGCACAGGAGCGCGCAAACTCAGCCTCCCTCGCGCTCCCACCCCAATACAAAGCAGAATCGGGCCACTAAAGGGAAGAGATCTGCGGACTGCCCCACCCCGGTCTTCCCCCGCCCCCGGCAGGGTCCCGGACCGAGCCCAGCTTGGGTCAGGGCAGGCCTGGCCTCCCGCCTGGCTGGGACCCGGACCCGCTACCGCCCCTCTCAGGGCCTCAGCTTCCTCTCCGCGCCGCCGGCGACAAGGAGCCGGGCAGAGACCCCACTCTCCGACCCCGGCGGCTCCGCAGGGGGCTCGAAGGGAGCCTCCCCTGCCCCCCCGCCCCCACCTCGCCCGCGGCTGCGCCGGGCCCCGCTGCCTGGATCGCGGCGACGCACCCCTGGGCTCACCATGGCGCGGGCGGCAGCAGGTGGCTGGAGGAGAGGGCAGGCGGCGGCCAAGCGCGCGGGCGGCCGTCCCGGGGCGGGGCCGCGCTCGAGCCGCCCCCGGGTAATGATTAACGTCCCCAGCCAGGGACGCGCTGGGCTTGCTTCCTTCCAGTACTTTCCTCGCTGCTCAGAGCCATCCTGCGTGCTCTTTTAATGGGGCTAGGGTGAAGCATGAGGGCTCCAGACGCCCGCTTCTGGGTTGGAATCCCACCCCGCCGCTTACAGCTGGGTGGTCCTGGGCACCAGAATACCTGTTTTTCTTTATAAAAATATTTTATTTGGATATAATTGACATGTTATAATTGCACATATTCAAAGTGCACAATTTGATAAATTTTAATGTTTCCCTGTTCCCTCGTGAAACCATCACCACGATCAAGATTATGAACATATCATCACACCTGCAAGTTTTCTTGTGCCCTTTGGTAACTAACCTCTTCCTCCAGAAACCCCCTGGCCAGGCAACTAGGGATGTGCTTTAGGTCACTATAAATGAGTTTGCATTTTCTAGAATTTTTTGTAAATGGAACCATACAGTATATACTCAGGTTAACTGTTTTGGGGTTCAGCCATGGTTTGCATATATCAACGGTTTCTTCCTTTTATGGCTCAGTAAATTTATTTTATAGTATTGCATTGTACAGGCAGACTACAATTTGTTTAGCAATTCACTGTTGGACATTTGGGTTGTTTACCTTTTGCCTCTTACAAATAAAGCTGCTATGAATATGGTACACAAGTCTTTGAAAGTTCACATGTTTTCATTTCCTTGAGTAAACACTTAGGAATGGACTGCCTGGGTCATACGGTAGGTGGACTTTTATAACTTATTAGGAAACGGCCACACTGTTTTGCAAAGTGGTTGTATCATTTTACATTCCCAGCAGCAGCGTATGAGAGTTGCAGTTCTGTGTCCTCACCAATACTTGGTATAGTCAGCCTTTTTAATTTTAGCCATTCTAATGGTGTGTAGCAGTATCTCATTGTGGTTCTGCGTTTCCTTGATGACTAATGATATTGAATATCTTTTCGTGTGCTAAGGATAAGTCTTTTTTAGTGAATAGCATGTTTGAATTTCTGGCCCATTAAAAAGAAATTGGGTTGTTTGTTTTCGTATCGAGTTTTGAGGGGTTTTTATTCTGGATATAAGGGATGATCAGGCATGCGATTTGCAGATATTTTCTTTGCATTATCTTATGGTTCCTTTTGAAGAGCAAACCTTCTTAATTGTGATGAAATCCAATTTATCAAATGTTTCTTTTATGGATTGCTATTTTGATGTTGTACGCATAGAGATCTTGGCCTAACCCAATATCACAAAAGTTTTCTCCTATGTTTTATAGCTTTTGGTTTTTCGTGTAGTCTGTGATCCACTTTGAGTAAATATTTTTGTATGCTTCAAGTTACAGATCCAGACTGACTTTTACATATGGATATTCAGTTATTTGTTTCTCCACTGAATTGTCTTTGCCCCTTTTAAAAAAATCAATTGACTGTATATGCGTGGGTTTATTTCTGAGCCCTTTCTTCTGTTCCATTGGTCTGTTTGTCCATCATGACAGAATACTACCTTGTCTTGATTATTTTAGCTTTATGAGTCTTAGAATCTGGTTGGAAAAGTCCTCTCACGTTTCACATTTTTTCTATTAACTTTTATTCTTGTACTCCATTTTTATTCTTCCCCCACGAACCGCCCATAGCAGCCTCTCTAATGTTTTAACGTGTATTTTTGTTTGCACATGTTCTTGCAAAATGTGTGGTGTTGTTTCGTCTATGTGTATTTTTAAATTTATGGAAATGGTATTATGTAAATATATTACATTTCTCAGTCTGTTTCTTACAAAACAGAGTATTTAGTGGAAAATTAAGATCTACCTATGTTGTTATATGTATATTTAATCTGTAGCTTTTAACTGTGGCCTAATATTTTGTAATGAGAGTCTGCCGTGGTTTCTTGTTCTATTGGTGATGGACACTCAGGTTCCCTTCGACTGTCTGCTGCTACCACCACCTCCCAAGCCCACAGCATGTGGGCACACACACACACACACACACACACAGTGAAACAACAATGCTGCTGCAATGAACATCTCCAATAGCTCCTGGACTGTGGGCAGTTTCTTAGGCAACTTAAGTATATTCATACCGTATAAATCCATCAACTCCCCCCATGGGTTTGTATCTCAAAATAGTTCTAGATGATGTTGGAATGGGGATACCAGTCCTCATTCCCGTCTGTATGGTGTGAGGGGGTGCTATTTCCATATGCACCTTACACGTACATACTCACACTTCACATTAGCCAACTTTTAATTTTTATCAGACTAATAGCTATTAAATGAGAGCTCATTGTGATTCGGGATTCTTCTTGACCCCTTTGCTGGGCTTGCAGCAGGGAGTGCCACCGCGACTGCATGCTCAGCCCCTGGCAGGAGGGAGCATGTGAGTGAGGGAATGCTGGGTCCAGCCAGCTGCATTAAGCCATGACACAGGAACATGCTCTGTGCGGAGCCCAAGCCAGACCAGGTGTGTCACCCTGAGGAGAATGCGGTAGTGCCCAGGCAGGGGGTGCCTGAAGCCCCAGAGAGGGGTGTTACAGTGTGCTAATTAGCTCTTTTAGTTCCACCATATGCAGCCTGATGGATGGCAGCATGTTAGCAGTTCAGTCGGCCCCCTTCTCCGCTCTAGCCCGTGGCTCCAGGACCAGCTTGGCCCTGCTGCTGCTTCCATTGTATGGGGCAGCTGCCCTACACCACTGAGGGCAGAGGGCCAGTGTTACAGCCTTTCTGGGTACCCACGGTTGGTGGCTCCCAAGCTCTTGTCCTGCGTCCGAGAAGAATGAGGTCATGCTGACAATTGAAGGGTGATGAGGATGGAGAATTTTATTGAGTAATGAAACAGCTCTTGGTGGAGAGGGAATGAGAAGGTCAGGTCATCTCTCTCAGTGTGGCTGAGACTAGGGATTTTTATAGGCACAGAATGGGGGAGGGGCGGGCTGTAGGTAGTATTAGAAAAGGCAACATTTGATTAAAAAGCATTATTTAGAAAGAGCCAATCAGGAAAGGATGGGCAAACAGGAACAGAAGTTCCCACCCTGGGTTGAGGGTTTCATTCTTAACCTGCAGTCCAGGCTGTTTTTGGATTGAAGGTGGGGTTTCACTGGGGAGCTGCCCCTATCTGCCTGGGCCTCTGCCTCCTGCCGCTCTCAATTGTTTTACTCTACATTGTTTTCTGATGACTAATGATTTTGAGAACCTCTTCATATGCTTGTTACCATTTGGGGCTTACTATTTGTGAATTCCTTTTTAATATCCTTTGCCAACTTTTAAGAATTTATAGTTCTATCTTTTTTAGTTGGTTTGTGGGTGTTTATATAAAATCTAGACGTTAATTGCTTATCAGTTTTGGTATTGCAAATATCTCCTCCCATTCTGCCATCTGTATACTAACTTCTTCCCTCACGCCCATCATGTCTGTGGGCAGATATCTTATATTTTGGTATAATAAGATTTATCTTTTTTCCCTCTGCCTTATAATTTTGTGCATTTGAAAATTTATTTGATAAGTCCTTTCCCCACCCTGCTATGAAAATATTCTCCCTTTTCTTTTGTTAGCTTTATAGTTAAGTAGATTTAAGGCCTAAATGT